GATGGTTCGGGCTTCAGGGTGGGGGACCTGGACCTTGTCCTGAATGGGGTTGCACTCCCTCTTAGGGACAAGGTTCGCAGCTTGGGAGTTCTCCTCGACCCTGAGCTGTCATTAGAAGCTCAGGTGACGGTGGTGGCGAGGAGTGCTTTCCTTCAGCTTCGGCTGATCCATTAGCTGCGTCCCTACATAGAGAACGATTGCCTGGCAACAGTGGCGCATGCGCTGGTAACTTCCCGATTAGACTTCTGTAACGCGCTCTCCGTGGGGCTACCCTTGAAGATGGTCCGGATACTTCAATTGGTGCAAAGCAGAGCTGCCAGGTTGCTGACAGGGACTGGGCATTGTTCTCATATAACCCCAGTCCTCCGTCAGCTTCACTGGCTTCCCATTGAAGTCTGGGCCCAATTCAAGGTGTTGGTTATCACCTATAAAGCCCTCAATGGCTTGGGACCTGGTTATCTAAAGGAGCGCTTGCGTCCATATATGTCCTCCTGCCCCCTGAGATCCGCGGCAGAGACCCTTCTCTGGGAGCCCTCCGTGAAGGATATTAGGAGGGTGAGTACCTGGAGGAGGGCCTTCTCTGCGGTGGTGCCCCACCTGTGGAATGCGCTCCCCAGAGAGGTCAGCCTGGCACCGTCGTTATTTGTTTTTTGGTGCCAGGCCAAGACCTTTTTATTTAAAAGTTATTTTAATTGTTAATTTATTGACTGTATTTACTGGGTTTTTATGTACGTGCCGAGATGTGTCCGGTTTTTTAAGTCTAATTATTGTTGTTGTAAGCCTCCCCAAGGCTTTTTGTGAATGGGGTGGCATAGAAATGGTTTAAATAAATAAATAAATAAATAAATAATAAAAAACAATCAGATTTTAAAAATTACATTGGATTTTTAAATAAAATGCTTTTTGAGTAAAAATCTATGTAAAGATAGTTTTATGTTTAAGATGCATTATAATTCAAAACATGCATCATGAAATAAGGACTAGTTTTTAATTATGGAGCATGAGGCTGTATATTCATGCAATGTTTATTTTTTTGGTAATTGAAATCCATTAATTCATTCACAATGTCTTGCTTTTCCAGATGTTTCTGTGAAATTATTGGACATTTTCTCCGTCTAGAAAATATCACAGATGCTTGATTTTAACAGTTCTCAAAATTTTGAATTTGTGTCTGAGAGATCACATACCTCTTCTTCATAGCACAAATGTTATAAAATAAGCATACACAGTTGAGAAAAATACCTTAATCTCATTGATCCTTTGCAAACCTATATACACAGAATCAGTTGCTTACCTCTTAAGTACTAAGTTTCAAAAAAATCAATGAATAAAAGAAGATTGTTGGGCATGGAATAGATTTTCACAAGAAGCTAAGTGTGAGGAGGGAGGGGCAAGCAGTAGAAGTGACAGAAGTGACATTTGAGTAGAATACTCCGCAAGACTTTGGATCTGTAGAGCCTGAGGTTTATCATATTGCTCTTTCCCTGGAGGAGAAACCCTATATTGGCGACAGGCTGCAAAGAGACCTGGCTTATGAGTATTTTAATTAAGTTCCTCTGCCTATGGGTAGGGCAGGTATGTGTCCAAATTTTGTGTGTGCCTGTGTGTGTGTGTGTGTGTGTGTGTGTGTGTGTGTGTTCAGTTGCAAAGTTGAGCCCAACTGACTATGACCCCATGGATCGCAGCACGCTTGGCTCCCCTGTCCTCCATTGCTTCCCAGAGCCCCCCACCCCTCCCATGCCCACTGTACCAGTGATGCCATCCAGCCACCTCAACTTCTGCAAATTATGTAGAAACCTATTATTTAAAACTAGTTTTACTGACTAGTGATTTAAATTGTGATTTAAGGCATGATTTAAATTAATTTGATTTAAATCAAATCCACCCAGAGTCCTACTCGCCTCTTGTAAATTCAAGGCTGTGGCTTTTTTTATAGAATTGATTCTTCCCAGATTTGGTCTTCCTCTTCTTCTTTTGCCATTACTTTCCCTAGCATGATTGCTTTCTGCAGCGAGTCTTGCCTTCTCATGATGTTCCTGAAGTATGACAGCTTTGTTTTTGTCATATTGGTTTCCAAGGAAAGTTCTGGCTTGATTTGATGTAGGACCCATTATTTTCATCTTTCTGTAAGTCTAGAGCATTTGTGTCCTCCAAGACCATGCTTTAAATACCTCAATTTTCTTCCTGTCAGCTTTCACACCCGTACATACTGAATTATTATATGCATTAGTCTTTAGAATATGTAGTTCTTATGTCTGACAGCAGGTGAAAAGTCCAGATAAGTGTGGGTGCACTTGAACTCCCCATCTCCCTGTTTTGGCTAAATGGAGATATGTTAGGTACACACAGATATCCTATTCTCCCTAATAGATATGCTTATACAAATAGCTATGGGGAGTGGGGAGAAGGGGCTGTATTGAGCTTAGGCATATTTTCTATATGCTCTTAAAGTGTGTGAGAAAGGGAACCAGTGAAAAGAATGGTCAAGTATTGTGCTACTGTCGCTTTATTTGCTTTATTATCCCCATCTTTTTTTCCTTAGAAAAGGCCATGTTGGGATTTATCTTCCATTCTGCTTCATACCTAGCAAAATGGAAGATCAGAACAATATCCCCTTCTAGTCCTCCCTCTTTTCTCGGAGGAAAAGAGCAAGGGATAAGTGTTGGAAGCTGTTTGCTGTTTTAGCTTTTTCCCTGCATAAAAATGGACAGGGTTGGATAAGTTATCTTTTTCCTTTCTTTGCAATCCCCTTCTGTGGAAAAGAGTGAAAGAAATTCAAGAATGTCACAGATATTATAGAACGAGAGCCTTGGATAGTGATACTAGTACAGAATTCATGTGGAACACATCAAATATTAAGGCATGGATGTTCATAAATTTCCACTTTCCTCTTTGAACCACATGCAAACAAGATTTTAGTCCTATTGCATTTGCTGCTAACATGTAATTTAAAAGGGAAAGCAGAAATTCATTCATGCACCTTTAATATCCAACATGATGAATGCACATTTTGTATTGGGATATTGGAATCTGAATACTAGTTTTTATGTAAGACGTATTGCTTAATGCTGATTGTGAAGGCATGAAAGAAAATGATGCAGTGGAATGAACAGATGCAGTAAATTTGCCAAATAGCAGCTTGTCTTTTCTCCTGCTGCCATTAGAAATCTCAATACCAAAATATCGTAGAGTATGCAGACCTAGTCTTTCTTCACAATAGCAGCCAAAGTGTATGTTTTGTGATAGCTTTGTTCTTAAATTAATTAATATAGTACTAGAAGTAATTGGTGTACCATTTAATTTTAGCCTTCAGGTTAGCTTTCACCAACCTGACTCACTCCAGATGTTCAGACTTCAGTGCCACAATTCCTTATCTTTGGCTGTGCAAGCTGAGACCGATGGGACTAGGAGCCCACAGTATTTAGAATTCCTTTGTACAACAAATTAAAAATAATATGTACTCCCATTGAGTATATGGTTATATTGAAGTATCTATATAGCACCATGAAACATTGCAACGATTTTGTCCATGTTTAAATGCATTACTAGTACAGCTATGGCAACACATTCACCCTGTTTAAAGAAGTTAGGCTACTTTGTAAGGGTAAGACTCCTTTAAGAGATAGCTAGAAGGAACAACCAGAGAAATAGGGTTGCTTCCTATTTCCAGTTAATGGGAAAAGAAAATTCAAGTAGCGAGCGTGGGAGAGGGGTTACTTTTGTAAAATAATCCTTAGGGTCATACCCTTGCTCTGCTTAGTATAATGCAATGTGAACTGGTTTCTGAGTCTCCAGAGGGCAGGGGAAGGGTTAATCTTGGAACTGACAAAATGTTGGAAAAACTGGGTGCCAGCCTAGCTGGAATCTGGTGTCCAAGGTCTCTTGGAGGCATCATCTTCCCTTTGGGTTGTGGGTTGAAAACTATCAGGATGCCAGAGATAACAATGATGACTGGCTAGCGAGTGATGCCAGGAGTAAAGGCTGTCCACAAGGACTGGGAGATGGGCCATCACCCCACGGGTCAGCTGACGTAAGCAGGAAAAAGCCCAAGAAACAAAGCAGTCTTTTGATCCTCTCTTGGGAGGTTCCTTCTGCTGCTGATTCTCCCTGCCAAGGAGTGCTGTGGCATCCTGTGCTTCCTGTGCTGGTAGAAGGCAGAGTTACTATGTCTATGCAAGGCTAGATATAGTTTGTTATTTTCTCTGTACAAGTGGGCCAACAAGGCCCTGGGAGTTGGGGTTTCTTGGTTAGCTGTAACCTATTTTGTTGCTGCTCTCCACTTCCCTTTTCCCTCTCCCTTCCCTCTTTTACCCTGTTTTATCCTTTTAGATTCTGTGTTTTAGTCCCTTCACTGCTATAATTTATCTTTTTAATAAGCTTTCTTTGTTCCCCCAGGCTTGGGTTTGTAATGTGCTGAATCCAGTGGTTGGTTCAGGGTTCTGGGACCAGGAAGATTCTTGGCAAGATTGTACCCAGGTGGCCGGGGGAATGGGGAATCCCTGACACCTTTCCATTATGGTGGGTGCACAAACAGCCTCTTTACTCCTCTTTTCATGGAAGGAGTGAAGATGTCAGAAAGCCTTCCAGTAACTATAGTTTCATGTTCATCCAATTACAAATTATAGTTAATGACTTTGGAAAAAGCCAGCATACAAGGTCTTGGCTTGAAGCTGGTTTCCTATCTTAGTTTGTTTGGAAGTCATTAACCATAGTTTCCGAATTTGGAGGTAATGGGAAAATATAGTTGATGGAAGATTTTCTTGTGTCACTTATGCAGAGAGAAGAGTAAAAAGGCTCCATGTTTAGTTAAAATGCTGGTTATAATGTGGGATGTCAAGTTTTAAGATTTCGTCATCTGAACACTGGCAATGTTAGTTGAATATTTAAGAACCTGGTATGATGGAGACACTAACGATTGAGAAATGTGTAGAAATTAATGCCTATAGGAAAAAACCACATAAGGGTCAGAATTTTATTCACTTTATTTTATTTAATTACAGGACCTGGAATTCCATGGAGTTATGAGATTTTATTTTCAAGACAAAGCAGCTGGAAATTTTGCAACAAAGTGTATCCGTGTGTCTAGCACTGCCACGACTCAGGATGTGATAGAAACACTTGCGGAGAAATTCCGGCCAGATATGCGAATGCTATCATCCCCTAAATACTCACTTTATGAAGTTCACGTCAGTGGAGGTTAGTGTATTCTGTTCGGGAGTCTTTAAAAAATACACAGATATTTCAATTTGAAGATTAATTTAACTCAGTTTTAGCAGTTATCTTTATTTTTAATGGTTTGTTAACTGGCTGTGTTAAGCTAAGATTTAGAACAGAAAAGCATAGACACAACTTTGCAAAACTGAAACAGTCATACTCACAAACTCAAACTTCACATTTGAAGTTTGTGGACTCGGGAAGAGAAAAATCTCCAAATGTTTTAAATAGAGGAAGAATTTGCATCATTTGAGGGTGTAGGGTAAAGAATTGGAGCCTTATTCTGAGGTGTGCCTCTTTAGGAAGCATGGTAGGAGTGTTGGGGCTATATGTATAAGAGAGGTTTGTTCCTTTGTCTATTTTTTTTTAGCTGACGCTGTAAGTCAGTCCATACCTTAATACGCATCTGAATTCTTAATAAACAATTGATTAATGGAATAACCCTTAGAAATGGATTGGAAATCTTATTGAGTTCAGAATATGTCAGTCCATTTCCTAAAGGGAATTAGGGATGAAGGAATATGCAACTAGAGGAGACAATATGATATGGTGGTTAGATGTTGGACTAAGGACTTTTATTACTTTGGCAATCATTGTAAGTGCCTGCTAAATGAAAGAAAGTTTGTATGTTTCACTTGATGCATATGGTAAAACATCACATATTGTTGCTTTTAATTTTCACTGATATTCATCTGCATTAGGAAAGGGAAAATATTTCAGACTTATTTAATTTAAAAAACCCTTGAACAGACAAAAAAATATCTAGCTGCTAGTTCTATAAAATTCATTGGCTTGTTGCTTTACCATGGTTTTCAAGTTTTAAGAAAAGATCACCCAGGATTTTTTGCAAATGTATTACAACGTGCATATTTTATCATGGATCGTCTTGTTTTTTGTATTTGCATTTTTTATAAGAAAGAATGATTATTTTCTTCATTCCTCTGAGAGCCTTTGAAACTTTCTAAATAATTCAAGCATCTTTGTGCAGTTTAAATAGCTTTGGTTTGTTGAGGTACCATTGTACAGTAGTGATACATGGTATGATAGTTTGGATGTGATGGCGAACTGGCTGCGGCATCTGTTACCCCATTGATCGTCAGGTTTGATTCAGCTGATCTGGCTGGCTAGGTGCGTGTCCCCCTTCTTCCCTCAATGCTCCATGTACATCCTTCCTGAATTTTTGTACTTGGTGGAAGAGGATGACCACCCCAGATAGAAGGTATGATAGTTTTGGCTGGAAGTCCTACTTGTGAAGAGGGCAGTGGTTAAAAGAGCACTTTATTTATTTATTTTTCGATTTATATCCTGCCTTTTTCCTGCAAAGGGCTCAAGGCAGCTTACATCTCCTCCTCCATCTTATCCCCACAACAACAACCCTGTGAGGTAGGTTGGGCTGAGAGTGTGACTGGCCCAAAGTCACCCAGTTGGCTCCATGGCTGAGCGGGGACTAGAACCCAGATCGTCTGAGTCCCAGTTCCATGCTCTTAACCACTACACCACAGAGGCTCACACTGGCACTTTATATATCATAGTATAGTAGCACTACCATCATAGTAGGTAAGGGTAGATTGAGTTCATGTGAAATAAAGTAAAACTGGAGAGGGGTGCTGAGCATTTTATGTAAGCATTATTTTTATTTGCAATTTTATGGAGAACTATGAAAAGAAATGATTATTGTTGCCTTTTAGAAGCAGATTTCTTTCTTTGTTTTTAGACACTGAAGAAAATGGTTTTCTATGAATTTAGAGGAAAATGAATTCAGAGAAACAGAAATAAAGCAAATCATTTAACTTTGATTATTTAATATTTATGAGAACATGGATTACCTTGCGAAGTTAGCACAAAAATAGTACTGTTCAGTACATGTATGAAATGAAAAAAAAATGAAAACAATTCTGACAGGAAATTTAACCAGTCATAGTTATAAGTCATTGCACTCATTCACAAGCATCCTTTTCTGCCACTTGGCAAACAGTTGGAAATGAAAGTTGGAAATAGAATAATCAACTTTGCAGTAAACACAAAGGAAGAGCTTAGAATGTAGTCCTCCACATTATCTTATGGAAACAGAGTGCATCTGTATAAGATACTTAACCAGTCATGGTATTTTAAACATCAGTGAACTGGACATTAAGCCAAATTCTCTTATATCTGTTTATTTAAAAAAAATATCTTCCTGCTTTCCACTTTGTTTCTCTAGGTTGTAATTCACCAAGGATTTATATTCATTTATAGTATGCAAGTATGGCAATTAATTTATTTAAAAAGATTTTACAGAGCAATCCTGTAGTCCATAGGCAGCATCCAAAGGGCTAAACAATTTTTAGAGTTCCAGCTCTGACATTGGAAAATAGCTCTGACTCTTCAGAGCTGGAATTTCATGCATGAAGCCCAACCCCCACACTGTGGCAGGTGTGGAAGGATCTGTGTTAGCTAGTTCTCCAAGGTCATAAGATGGTGGGGAGGGGGGGAGACAAGAGTTGCCAAGATATGGTGCATTTGTGGTGGTGCCTAGCCGTCTTCTGAAGTGCAGCAGTGAAATGGACAGGAATCGGCTGTCCTGCTGCCTTGCATAGTAGGAGTGCAAGGCAACCTTCACCTCTGTCCTTGTCCTGCTCTGAATAGGAGGTCCATAATTGTCTGAAGTTTTGTTAGTGAAAAATGTATACTAAGACCATTAAATCTCATTTTTAAAGAGTATGAAACTTTTATTATCTGGACCTCCTAGTGGCATTTGATAAAATTGATCATTGGCCTGGACAGCTTGGAAGGGTTAGGGTTAGCTTTGGAGGCTCTGTTTTGTAATGGTTCGAGATCTCTGTTGATATATTGACCGTCTCCAGGCTAGGTTTGAAGGTGAGAAGTATGCTGGTAAAGTTTTTAAGCTCTTCCCTTAATTAAAAGAAAGCCCTCCCAGTTCCTTCCCTACCTATCTCAGGCATGATTCATGTCTCTCTCTCTCTCTCTAAAAATTCTTCTTTGACTGGTGATTCGCCCACTTTTTTGGCTGTCTTTTGCACACCGCATTCCTGTCATGAGGCACAGAGTTAGAGTGGGCCATGAGGCTAATGGGCAGCAGTTACGCCTGTACACGTGTACACACGTTTCTCGTATCTGTTGGATTGTTACTTAATCCTCAGTAAACATATTCACAAAACATTACAGGTTACACGCCCATGCTTCCACAGAGGGATTATTTGGGTGGACAGTGTTGCAAATGCTTCTTCTGTAACAGAGCAGACTCATATCCCACCGCTATCACACAGTTTTCCATAGCTTAGAAAGTAATGCTGTTACTTAATGTACAGGTTTCTTCTTGTTTGATATACAGAGGGTCACCATGCCCCAGTCTTGCTTGCATTCAGTGGCTGTTTTCTCTTGTTACTACATTGTGTACAGATAATCTACAATGTAATTATCAGGTGCCGTACATTCACCAAGGAGTCTTTCTCCCTAATCACTTATCTTTTAAAATTAGTTTCTGATCTTAATCTTTTCAATCATAAATTTGGCCATGTTTTGTAATTGGAAAGAGTTTCTTCTACGACGGAAACACTCTTAAATTTCATAAACATACTACCTTTCTCTTGAGATAGAAGGAGGATTAAAGTCCATCCTTTATGCAAAACAGAAGAAACGTTCATGATAAATTTCAGTATTTCTTTGAACCTGACTGGCTGAGGTTGATACTATTGATTAATGATGAGCAGACTTTTCAACAGAAAGTGTAATTTTCTCTCCAGTCTTCAGTTCCTCTGTGCAATCTTGGATGAAAGTTCTCTGAGTTCTATATTGTGTGCATGAACAGCTACATAAGCAAACATCTTAGCCTTACCCGCAAGCCAGCCACCGCAGGCTGCATCACTCCTCTCTCAGTTACCTCTTCCTAAAAACGCCATGTGCAGACTTTCATGTTAAGCACCATTGTCAGAGATAGTCTCCGACAATGTCACTTCAGAGATAGTCTTTCAGTCCAGCAGCTTCTTCTTGGAATGATCATATGACAAATCCAGGAAATACTTGTGGGGTTGAAGTGCTATTTCTGAAGAAAAGCTCTGCTGCTACAGACACAGAATAAGAATTTCTAAACTAGTAAGCAATTTAGAAAAGCACTTTTCTAGTTTAAAGGTCCGAGGGGAAAAAATCATGAAGATAGTGCAGTTTATTATATTCAGTTTCAGTTTGCATAATAAAGTTTGTTGGGCAGCCATCAGGATGAGTATGTGTGCAAGTATTATGAACATAGATTTTACTTAGGAGCCATCTAATTTTGTTTTTCACTAGCATTATTACTATTAGTGAACTATTGTTCCTTACCTTAAGAGGCAACCTTTGTGTATAGTTCCTTGGGATATCTTCTCAGAAATATTGTTTAACATTTTATATTAACCTGCTGGATAAAATTAATGGGAAAATTGGAGTAAGGTGTAATGATACTGCTGATGGTATTTGGATTTACTTCCTTCTTTGCTGATATAGGAACGTAAGGTTTGACTATGAGTCAGTTTGTGCCTTAGTACAGCAATGGGCTAGATAAGACCCCATATATTGAAACCAAACAAGCAGAGCTAATGATAGCTGAGTCAGTTTGATTTAAGGAAACTGCTGTTTTGTACTTGCTGGGTTAAACATTTGTAAGGTGGGTAAATAATGTATTCTTATATAAAATAATTTTATTTTAAATCATGTAATTAAATGTGATTTTTTCATAATTGCATCTCACCTACTTTTTATCAGAATCGTAGAATAGTAGAGTTGGAAGGGGCCAAGGAGGCTGTCAGGTCCAGCTTGCTGCTGGTGCAGGACACCAAGTTATACCATCTCACTCATATGACTGCCCAGTTTCGTGGGAGAACCTATAACCTCATTAGGCAATTGGTTCCATTGTTGTATTGCTTTGACAGGACATTTTTTCTGATATCTAGTTTGAATTTGGTTTGTTACAACTTGAGTTCATTGTTCTGTGTTGTACACTCTGGGATGAGTGAGAAGAGGTCTTGTCCTTCCTCTTTGTGACAGCCTTTCAGGTATTTGTAGAGTGCTGTCATATGCCCCCTCAGACTTCTCTTCTTGAGGCTGAACATCCCCAGTTCTCTGCTCAGACATGCCCAGTCTCTCCTCATAGGGCTTTGTTTCTAGACCTTGGTTCATCTTTGTGGCCTTCTTCTGAACCTTTTCTAGACCAGAACTAGAACACAGTATTCCAAATGAGGTCTGACTAGAGAAGAATATAGGAGAACTAGTCATGATTTGGAACTGATACTTCTATTAACATATCTCAAAATAGCATTTGCCTTTTTAGCAGCTACATTGCATTGTTGGCTCATATTTAGAATGTTGTCCACAACCACAACATTCTCTTTCTCAGTACTGCTGAGCCAAGTATCCCCCATCTTTTTTTTTTTATGTATTTGGTTTTGTTTTTCCTAGGTGGAGGAATTGGCATTCGTCCCTATTGCATTTTCATTCTGTTGCTTCAGTCCACTGTTATAGCTCATCTAATTTGCCCTGAATCTTCATTTTGTCTTCCAGGGTATTAGTTCTTTCACCCAGTTTTGTGTTGTCTGGAAATTTGATCATCAATCCCTGTACTTCCTCATCCAGATGATTAATAAAGATGTTGAAGAGTATTGGGACCAGGAATGAATCCTGTGGCACCCCACGTGTTACCTTTCCTCAGTCTCAGAAGTTGCCATCAATGAGCACTCTGAGGCTTATTTTGTAGCCAGTTGTAGATCCACCTAATAGTTATTCTATCTAGTTCACTTTTTGTTAGTTTGTTTTTCAGGATCTTGTGGGGGATTATGTTGAAAGGTTTGATAAAGTCAAGATAGATTATGATCATGGTATCTCTGCTGTTCATTTTTTCCCCAGTCAAAAAATGAGATAAGATTAGTCTGGTGGGATTTATTCTTGAGGAAACCATATTGGATTCTATTAATCAGTGTGTTTCTTCAAGGTGCTTCCAGACTGATCTTTAAATAATTTGCTCTAGAATTTTTCCAGGGATGGATGTGGAACTGACTGGTCTGTAGTCCCTAGGTTTATTTTTTCGCTTTCTTGAAGATGTGGACAGCACCAGCCCTTCTCCAACTATCTGGCACTTCCTATACAGTGGTTCTTCCAATAGGTTTTTTATGACTCTGGGATAGAGTTTGTTGGGCCCTTGAGATTTGAGTATGTGCATCTGGATGTTTCTTGATCATTTTTCTGCTGATCTTGGGCTGCCATCCTGTGCTTTTACCTTGTACTTTCCCTTTGGTAGGTAGGTTGTAGGTCTTCTTGTGGGAGAAGACTGAGCCAAAGTAGGAGTTGAGCGCCTCTGCCTTTTCCTTATTTGTTATTGATTGCCATCTGCTTTGAGCAGTTGAATCCCCTTCTTTTTCATTTGTCTTTTGATTTGGACATATCTGAAGAAGACTTTCTTATTGCTTTTAGCATCCCTCACTAGTCTCAGTTAATTTCCTTCTTTAGCCTTCCTGACAACATCCCTGCAATTCCTTGCTATCTGTTTATATTTTTCCTTTGTAGCTTGGCCTTCCTTCCACCTCCTGAATGTGTCCTTTTTTGCTTCCAAGATTATCTTTTAAATTTTTGTAGAGTCACATGGGCTTTTTCTGTTGTGTTCTACACTTTTTTCTTGTTGGGATTGTTTGTAGTTGTACTTTATATTGACTTTTTTCAAGCTTTCCCATCCTTCTTGGACTCTTTTTCCCCTTTAGAGTGAGATGTGATGGGACTTCGGGTATCAGTGTTCTGAATTTGCTGAAGTTGGCTTTCAGGATGCATGTTTGGCTACAGTTGACTTTTGCCTCCTGTATAATTGAGAATTCAAGTATGACATGGTCACTACCCCAGGCTTCCTGTGGTTAGGGTTAGGTCTTTCCTGTTGGTTAGTATTAAGTCGAGGCTAGCAGTTCGTCTTGTTCCTTCCTCTAACTTCTTCTGGAGGAAGTTGCCAGCAATGCATGTTTCTTAGAGAGGCCATGTTTGGCGGAACTTGATTTCCAGGATATATCAGGGAAATTGAAGTTTCCCATAATAACTGCATCATGTATCTTTGCAACACTAGCAATTTGCTTTTCAAAGGTTACATGCTCGTCTTCCCTTTGACTGGGTGGTCTGTAATAGATGCCAATAAGTATGTTCCTTTTATGCTTTGCTCCCTTTAATTTAAGCCAGATGTTCTCGATGGGACTACTAAGTTCCTCTATCTGCATTTCTTTGCAGATCTGAGTCTCTAACCTGTGGTGCTACTCTGCCTCCTTTTTTGTCTTTTCTGTTTTTCTTGAACAGGTTGTATCCTTTGATTGTAGAATTCTGATCATGGGTGTTGTCCCACCAAGCTTTGGTATTGCTATAAGGTTGTAATTTCCCTTGTGTACTAAGAGCACAAGTTCATGTTGTATGTTTCCCATGCTCTGAGCAATGGGATATAGACATTGCAGTTCACTTTTGTTATACCCTGTCTTTATTGTTCTCTGTTTTGGTATGCAAGTCTTTTCCAGTTGATGTTACACCCTGATGCACATCTCTCTTCCCTGTATGATTCAATTTAAAGACCTCCTGATAATTTTCTTCATTTTTGTCCAAACATATGCTTTCCGTTCTTTGGGAGATTCAGCCCATCGACAATAGTCCATATTCTGGGAAGTGTAGTTTGTGATCCCAGAATCCATATCTCTCTCTTCTGTACCACCTTTGTAGCCAGGCATTCACTTTTAGGATTTTTCTTTCCCTATCAGTTCCTCTTGCACAAACAGGTAGGATGGACAAGAAGGCTCTAGAGAAAAACATGGGCCCCCGTGCTTTTGATTTTCCTCCCTAAAGTTTCAAAGTCTGACGTTATTTCTTCAAAGCTCTTACTGGTGGTATCATTTGTTCCCACGTGAACAAGAAGCAAAGGGTATTTGTCAGTGGGTTGTATGAGATGCCTGAATCTATTGTTTATATCACTAATCTTTGCTCAAGGGAGGCAGCATACCTGGCTTTTCCCTGGGTCATACCCACATACATTATTTTTCATCTGGCATAGCAGGGGGTCTCCCATAACTAAAACTCTTCTGTATTTTGTATTATTGCAAGCTTGGGTGAGTAAAATAAAAGGGACTGACTTCTGGGTATCTGGCTGTTGCTTTAACAATAAAGTGTGGAGTCAGGAAAGGAATCACATCTTACAATGGTGACAAATGCTTTTCTAAAAAAATGGGTCTGGGAAGAAGTATCTCTTCTTGCTTACACACGAATCCTTGGACTCTGTGTTCTGCTACTCTAATGTACAGACTGTATTACAAGTTTGTGGACAGTAACAGAACCTTTAATAACAATTTTGATTTCAGAGTTCTTAAATTGGGCTTACTCCTTAAATGTTGAAGATATACAACTTCATATTTCTTATTCAAGATGGAGAACAGGGTATGCTTTGAATGTTAAGAATTAGAGCCGCCTTTTATTGTGCTGATGGCCAGACTTACTTTGTTAATCTGTCTTTGGTTGTCTCTCACACTATTTCCAGCAGTTTACCTTCTGCTGATAACATATCATAACATTTCCCACTCTGCAGGGGAAAAATATGTTAAATTGTAAATGTAACTGTTACGCCATTTCTTGACTTCTATGTTATTGTTGTGCTAAAGTGATTCATCTTGAAATAGTATGCAACCATTAGTTATACTCTTTACCTTTCCTATTTTGAAGAAGAAAGAAGATTGGATATAGATGAGAAGCCTCTAGTTGTACAACTAAATTGGAACAAAGATGATCGAGAGGGAAGATTTGTACTCAAGAATGAAAATGATGCACTTCCTGCAAAGGTAAAAGGAAGCATATAGATCTCTCTGTTAGCTGTTTTTGTAATTAAATTTTATACAGTACTTTGCATTTGTAAAAACAAACAAATATGGCAGTACTTTGTGGAAATATATGACAGACTGCCTCAGCAGACTGACTGGGTTTGCATGATACAAAAATCCACTGAAGCATATAAGGTTCATCATGTGAACCCTGGCCAGATTTGTCAGAGGGGCTTAACTTTGGTTTCTAAGCCACCCTGACAACACATGGCTTGTAGCAGGAGTGCTTTGACCCACAGTGGATTCTCAGAATGCATTTGACCCACTATGGGTTACCAGCTACAAGCAAGCCACTTGGGAAAAGCTTCAAAATCTCTTTGCCACTCTTTTCAAGTGGCTAGCAGACAAACATTGTGGCCACTCATCCCCAAAGTGCCCAAGAGGTACTTAAGTGTGGCTGTTAGAGGCTTCACCCCCCAATGGGAATATCATGTGGCTGTGGGCAGTTAACCAGACTGTGTGGCTTATGCTGCAGTGTGGTTTAATGTATTATCTTGTCTACAGTCTTATTTACTTTGTTATCATACTAGCACTTGGATAGGAAGTGGTCTTTGCATATCCTCTAGTCACTAATCTCTTAGCTGCCAGAAGTAGGCAATTGACTGCTATATTCTGGGGCAATCTTCCATATTCAACCAATTAAACCATTTTAAGAATTGCTTGCAGTCTGTAATCTTTGAAAGTAACATCTTATTGGAGTGCCAAATACTTCCAGAGACTTGTAGAGAGTACTTGAGATGTATGGTTTCATGTTGCTCTGGTTTGCATGTAGCTGTGGGAATCATGTGTTACTTAACTGAGGATTTGCTACAGAATGTGCTAGGGTAGATTCCACAGCTTATTTAAATATTCAGCCTTTGGTCCTGCCAATTGGAAGCTGCTATGTGACATCCAAACCTGGATACTGTAAGTTAATGCTATAGGTTAAACAATCTACAAGTAATCTACAATTAGTTAATTAATCCATAATTTGCTGCTATGAAGTGTGAACAGGCCCATTTCTGGTAATATGCATGATAAAACACTACAGATGCTGGATGTGTATGTGTGTGTTCTCCAGTTTGTCTTGCTGGTAAAAATATTGGGGAAAAAAGTGGAATGCTGCCATCAACACTTCTGAGGATCTTTAATTATGGAGAGGCAGAGTATTGCATGACTAATGTTTAACTTGCTCAATAATTTTTTAAGGAAATGGGTTATTTTGGTACAAATATTATATTTTACTTAAATTACTCAAATTTTGGTAATGCCATTAAGGAAAACTATAATCAAGCAGAGGTAATTCATTCAGGAAGAAATAGAAGTTAAGTCAAAATTAATAATAAGAAAATAGGCGTTCTACAGCACATTTTGAATTCTGAATTGTATTAAGATACAGAGCTAGAATATCCAATTTCACTGTTTAAAGTGGAGAATAGGTTTAGTATTATGAAAGAAACTGAGCTTTTGTATTTGTGTCCTCAGGTAGCTCAATCTTCTATAATACAGCACACTCAGATTATTGTTGAAAAATGTTTTTTGTATGTTCTCTGGATACAGGAAGGTAATTTCAATAACACTGCCTGCTTTTGTTTTAAGTATGCAGCAAGTTAACATGATGCTTATATACAATATACTTTGTACATAAAACACATATTTTTATGAAATATGGACCAATCAGGGATGCTTGGCATTACTTGAGCTTTGGGGCAAGGGGTTGTCCACAGGTGTTCAGAACTACCTAAAGTGATAGGCACATACAAAAACAAGCTTCTGGATTCACAATCTAAAACTATATAAGACTCTGCATGGGCAAAAGTTTCTTAGATTTTAAATCGCCTTACCCCCACTAAAAAAAAAGGCTAAAACCCTCTAGAAGGATATGAGCCTGGGCATCCTCAAAATTAGTTAGGGTTGGCTACATTTGCAAATAATGTTAAACCATTGTGCGGTGTTAAATGAACATAAATAAATCTGCACATTGGACTTGCACATTCCTTTTCTCTTCTTCCATGGCCTGGAAGACTTTCACTTTTACAAAATCCCAAATTGGCATTACCATCAAACTACTGTGTTTTAAAACAAAATATGTTTGCATTATATCCAGCTTCAAAGTGGGATTATGAAACTGCTTGTTGATGTAACTAGAGTTTGTTTTAAACCAGGACCCCTGGTTCAAGCATAATGCTAAGCTATATAATGTTTCGCCCTCACATGTATTCTAGTCAGGCCCAACTCTGGGGCTGGTGCGCCTTTCTGTTTGTAAGCCAAAGAGCTAACATTGTCTGAAGATGCTTCCATGGTCATGTGGCCAGCATGACTATTTATTTAAAATATTTTTTATCCCGTCCTTCCCGATCAAACATCTCAGGACAGCTTACAATGATTAAAATAGTAGTATAATAATACAATAATTAAAACTCTAAATAATAGGCAAAACATAAAACAAACACTTTCATAAAACTAAAGAAAGAGAAGAAAGGAAGAAAAAAGAAAATGCGACTGTGATCAGATCTTAAAACATCCAAAATCCTTAATTATTAAAATGGTTAAATAAAAAGGTCTTTACCTGGCGACCTTCTCTGGGGAGCGCATTCCATAATCTGGGTGCCACTGCAGAGAAGACCCTTCTCCGGGTAGACACCCTCCGTACCTCCTTCAAAGAGGGTTCCCAGAGCAAGGCCTCTCCTGCCAATCTTAAGGGGCATGAGGGCATATGGGGAAGGAGACGTTCCTTCAGGTATCCTAAACACCAAGGCTCACAGAACACTGTTACCTTGCCCACCAAAGTTCTACCTATCTATCTACTTGTATTTGCATGCTTTCAAATTGCTAAGTAGGCAATATCTGGGACAAAGCAGTGGGATATCACCTTGTCATGCATTTTCAAACTGCCAACTTTCTGATCAACAGCCCAGCTGCTCAACAGTTTAACCTGCTGCACCACCCATGTCCTTTAATGCTAAGCTAGTGTTGCATAAAAGTGAAAATACCTCTGTTGAAATTGTTCCCTAGACCACACGTAAGGATGAGAGAGTAAGAGGGAGTGCGTGAGTTCAGTGCTTCAGTTGTGCTCATGTATGTTGTGCTAAACCATAGTTTAGCATTATGCAGCTAATCTACTGATCACACTGATTGCTTGTTTGAAGGGAGGGAACTAAATCCAGCCATACTGAATGTTTGGTCCTCTGTCAGTTGAAAGTTTAGATGGCTATTGTCTTCAATTGTATAAACTTAGATTTGTTTGAATTGGAAATTAATATGGTTAGAGTGGCAATGAATCATAATATTAAGGATGGCTTGTTTCAGAAGGCTCAAAGCAATGGCCCTGAAAAACAAGAGAAGGAGGGAGTGATCCAGAACTTCAAACGGACACTATCAAAGAAAGAAAAGAAGGAAAAAAAGAGGCGAGAAAAAGAAGCATTGCGGCAAGCTTTAGACAGTGATGGAACATTTCACGGCGATGATATGTGAGTCTCCACCCATTAAATAGTAGGACACCTAATTTGTCATTGAATGTTTAATGCAACCAATATGGGGAGATAAGTCTTTTTAAATTATGAGATCACATTCTGTTTTATATTCATTCTTGGGTGGTATATACAGGTTCATATCACATTATTTACAGATTTTTTTATTTGTTTCATTATACTTCTATGATGCTCCATAACCCAAGGGTACTCTGGGTGGCTTACAAATGCTGAAAGCAGCATATAAATACAAGCAATACAATAGATAAAAATGGATAAAAACAATAAAATTAGTAAATTATTAAAACATCTTACATAATAAAAATTAAACTGTACATAGCATGACCAATGGAAGCAAATTAATGAACAGCTATAATTAAATAATCAACAAAAAACAATTTAAATTAACCAAAAGCTTGTTCAAACAAAAACGTTTTTACATGGTATCTAAAAGAAAGCATGGTTGATACCAGCTGTATGTCTCCAGAGAATGAATTTCAGAGTCTGGGTGGGCACCACTGCAGAAAATGCCTCCCGCCTAGCCATTTCCCCCTTGACCTCACTGTGGGGACGGTATTCAGCGAAAGACTTCAAGATATAAGTGGTTGAGTAGGAATATATGGACAGAGGTGCTCCCTCAAGTCCCCTGGTCCCAAACCACTTAAAGGTTTTATATGTCAAATACAACTCTTTGAATTGAGCCCATACTGGAACCCAGTGCAGCTTCTCAAGGAGTGGTGTTATCATAATCGCCTTTAAAGGGGCTGGCACCACTCTCTCAAGGAGGTGTTGACCGACTCCAGGACCTAGGTGCAAACCCCTCCCTAGATCTCCCAATAAGCCGTGATGAGCAAGGGTCAAGTGGGCAAGTGGCAGGCTGGACTTGTCCAAGCAGAGTGTTCATGTCCTCAGGCCACAGTAACTGAAATTGATACAACAAAATAGGACTAGGTGGTATGGTGGATGCTTCTGCTGTTGGAACTGGGATACCTGTGGTATCCAAGTTGGAGCAAATCACAGCAAGCTGCTGAGAATTCAATAATATCTCTCTTGGGAGCAGAATATAGAAGGCCCTTAAGCACCCAGAACAGCTCTGCTAGGCAGCATTGTGAAAATGTGAAGCCGGTGGAATGAAAATGTCTTTTAGTCACTTTCACTGCCACAGAATAGTCTCAGTAATGCGCACTAAGATGTGTTCAGTCAAATTCAGCCTGAGCGCTAGTCATCTCCCCTCTTAGTCCATTGCCTGCAGTTCAATGTATACCAAGGATCAGATTGGGCTTCATGAGAGGGGAGAGGGCACTTGGGGGCAATCATGTCAACTGCTTAGGTCATCTCGATATACCAAACTTGGGCTTCAACAGGAGCACCTACCATGCCAGTTGGAAAATCCTCTGGATGATCCAAATCAGTGGTTTAATGTAGATCTTAAACAGCAAGACTGACTTCCGAGGAACTCCATCTTGGAGAATCAATGAGACTGAGCAATATTCTGAAAGCACAACCCTCTGGAGTTGGCCATCCAAATAGGAGCAGAACCACTTGCAACTCAGACAATTGCTCTAGAAGGATACTGTGGTTGATGGTATTAAAAGCCACTGAGAGATCCAGCAGTTTCAACAGGGTTGCACTCCCCTGTTTATCTGCTGGAACAGATCATCATATAGGACAACCAGACTGTTCCCATGCCCAAACCAGGCCTGAACACTGATTGAAATGGATTGAGATAATGAGTCTCATGCAAGATTGCTAAGAGCTGGTTGGTCACTACACGCTCAAGAATTTTGCCCAGAAAGGGAGAATTTGCCACTGACCTGGTTATTAGGGTGCTCTGGGTCCAGAGTGGGCTTATGAAAGAGTTGTCTCACCAGTGCCTCTTTCAGGTGGCACAAGACCACACACTCTCTCAGGAATGCATTAGTCATCTCTCTGGCCTATCTGGCTGTTCCCTCTGCTCTTTTTTTAAAATTAACCAAGATGCACAAGGATCTAGAATAGAGGTAGTTGCATGAACCTGTCCAAGTACCTTGTCAACATCCTTGAGCTGCATCAATTGAAATTTATCCAATAAAACCAGACCAGACTGTGGTCTGGAAATCTTGCCAGATTTAACTGTTGTAACATAAATCCTGGCAGGTGCATGACCTTGGATGGGTCTGCAACTTTCTTGGGGCCAATATGTAATAGACCCTGAGCAAAGCTCCTCCTCCAGTTGTGAGCCGCCCCGAGGCTTCGGCGAATGGGGCAGCATAGAAATGTTTTAATAGATTAAAATAAATAAATAAAAATGGAAGATTGAATACAGGCAATGCGATGCTGTTTCTTTGCTGCTCTCTCTGCCCCTAAGTATGCCTAATTATAGACCATACTGGGGTTCCATTGCCACCACTAGGAGTTTTTCTCCATTTGCACTCAAGAATGCCCTGGGGATTAACTGTTATACTAGATACAGCTTGTGAAAACTTGTTTTAGTCCTGTCAAAAAACCTGCCTAATATAAACCCTTTTGACAGCTGTGAAAAGTTTATATTTGTGAAAAAGGGAACTAGAGAATTTAGAAGATACGATAAATATGGAAAAGGTGAAGGACACTAAGAACTGTTAGGACTATATAAAAAACAAACTAGAGGATCACACTGTTAAGGGGAAGATACTGCTGCCACTCTCTTTTGTGAGTAAAAATCCCCCCATGACTTTGATTTTTTTTTCTCTTGACAGCTCACTGTTTGGCAGCAGTCAAGTGAAAAGCATATTTGCATTCTTGCTGTTCTGCTTGAGCACTTTGGCTGCCTCTGGAAAACATTGCTGAAAGTTTTCAAAAGGAGGGAGATAACACCAGTGGCCTAAAAAAGTTATGAAAAGGGGAAAGGAGACAAGATAAGTTCAGTGGCCATCTCCCGGGATACTGGTAGGAGCACACAAGTGGGGGAAGGAGAGGGGGGCAACCCAAAGTGAGCCTGATAATCACTGTGGGTTGTTCAGCCAGCCAAGTATCATATTTGAAACCAGGACACTGACCAGGGAAGCCTTCAAATTTCTAGTAGGCAGAGTTTTACACCTGTACAACATTTGAATTACTGATCAAATAAAAATAATAATGATGAAAAATTACCAAAAATGTGTGCACACATTTCTGGCATTAAAACGGTGGTAAACCAGTGATGTCTGCTCTAATGCAGTGTTTTGGCACTTTAGTGTAGCTCCCTGTCACTTTGGAGATCAGAGAAAGTGATCACCAGGGGAAAAAATTGGGAGAAGGCCGTGCAGCTGCACCGTTTTCCCTGTCATCTGTCAGGTGGATCATGAGATGTTCAACAAAAAACCCCATGCTGTGTAACTTATTTGTCGGGTTGGTTGCCATCTTGTTTGCCTTCATTCATCATGTTGAGTACTCACTACATATCATGCTTAAACAAGGATGCTCAATCTAGCTTTGTTTATTTTGGAGAAGAAGCAGCTGTGGGATCCTGATCCAGAATGGGCACCCTGCTGCTGCCGTTTCTCCTAAATAAAAGCAATCAGGTTAAGTATGCTTGCTTAACCATATGGTATCATTTGTAGTTTGTCCATGAGTTGTCAGCTCAGTAATACTCACAGTTCTCCTCAGTTTGAAGGGTTCTAAAAATTGTCCAATGAGTGTGTTCACTTCATCTGATCTTGTATCTTACCTGCATCTCCCCATGTTCATTTAACCATCAGCCTGGGGAGATGTAGTTTGTGTTCATTTTGCTTCTGTTTAAAGCCCATTCTTACAGCAGTAAAGGTGAGGATACTGTGTTTTTGAAGGGTAATGTGTATGTGCATGTGAAGATGAAATTGGGTGCAACACAGGAAATGCTATGCTTTCTGAAGGAAGATGTACTCATTAAGATGCCTGGTTCACACTCAGCAGTTTTCTGCCTGCCAGTAGGTTAAGATCTAACCATGTAAACAGAGCTTTTGTTTTTGGGGACTTTACATTTTTAATACTTTCCATATACATAACCTCTAGGACTTGTTACTCCCTCAAAGCTTACTTTAGGGAGATACTCATTAGGTAGGTAGAGTAGATGTTATTCTCTTTATGCTTTTGTTGGATAGTGTTTTTGTATTACAAAATATTCTGATGAAAAATAGTCATTTTTAAAAGAAATGTTACTTTGTTTACTAGTTTACTAGTAAACTAGTAAATGTTTACTAGTGTTACTTCTAGATTCAGAAAGATTTTTTTAAAGGTAGTATTCTCACAGCATTTCAACACTTGTGATGTTTATATTACTTAACACATAATTGAAAGTTTTAAGTGCATCTTATAAAGCCATTGCTTAGTTCAGCTAATATCATTAGCTGCTTCAGTTGTATCTAAAATTTAATATTCAATGTTAGTCCTATGCAGAGTAGACGGAATATGATGAATGAAACTGAAGTTAGTCTATTCTGCATGGTACTGATGCACAGTATATAATTGTTGACTTGCTGGTATAGGAGAGCACACAGCTTATTTTAAGAATAGTGAATAAGATCTTTGGCTATTCAGTAGAACTGCACGCCTCATAGATGTGTGTTTTATGTATGTACCTTCTTATTTAACAGGAATAAGTAAGGTACTTTACTTATGGTTCAGAATATTTTAGTGATTCTTTGCATTATTTTGGGCAGTGAGAATTCTCGTCTTGCAGCAGAGGTCTACAAAGATATGCCAGAGACCAGTTTCACTCGAACAATATCTAATCCTGAGGTGGTAATGAAACGACGGAGACAGCAAAAATTAGAGAAGAGAATGCAAGAGTTCCGGAGCTCAGATGGCAGGCCAGACTCAGGTAATAGTTCAGACTGAAATCAAGAGCATTCATCTGACAAAACAATTGATAGAGGTGCCAGAATCTGTGCACTCCAGGGTATTGCTTGAACTATAAATGCCAAAATGCCTGAAGAATCCATACTTTCTTGGTATCCACTAAGATATTAGCTTGTCCTCTTAACATTGAGACCTATTCCAATGAAAGGGGCAAAAATAAGCATTCTTGGTGTGTCTCCCACAACAATGGATTCTGTAAACAGAAGATTTGTTACTAACAAATATTATCAATTTAAAAATATTTTAAACTTGCTCTCTGTTTTTTCCATATTGGGATAGTTTTATCTCTAAGTCCCTTGAAGGGACTTAAGAAGTATATTTTAAAAACCCTGTATCACAATATAAAAAGTACAGTATCTAGTTAGGGAGAATGCTACAACCAGGAGAGGACCAAGTTCATTCTCTTTCAAATATTATCTTAAATGGGAAGTTTTGGGCTGATCTTTTGAAGATTATGAAGGAGATGGCCAGTTGGGCTTCCCTAGGAAGAGGCTAAGATAGGGCGCTGCTCTATATCTTAGAAGCCAAAACAGACTTCTGACAATTAGAATATGCAAAGCAGGGCTTCAGCTAACTATTCCAAGGCATTGCAGAGTGGGGACCATATGGGAGAGTATATTTATCCAGCTACCCTGTTGCAAGGCTGTTTAGGACTTAAGGTCAACAGCTACACTTCAAATTGGATTCAGAAACAAATTGGAGTACAGATCCTGAAAGAGAGATGTTACGGCATCTTTCCAGCTGCTACTCATCACGAATCTCTATTCATGAAGAAAGAGTATCACTGGAACACCAAGTGAAATGAAATAGGATGTGGGGAACACTCCTGGCCACAGCTCCTACTTGAAAGCTCCTATTAGCAGTGCTGACCTGAAGTTGCAAATTCTTTTGGGGGAATTATGGCTCCATCTGGAACATCAGCTTAAAGTTCAGAGTCTATTTTCTGAAGGCGGTGTTAGTATGTCTGTTTTGTATGACATTTGGTAGCTTGGGGGTAAGCCCGTAGGCAGCTTTTTAAAATTAATTTACTATTCTTGTTCTTAAATATAATTTACCTTGGGGTAAGGTAAAATGTACTATTAATATATCCATTCTTTTTATATTAACTAGCATTTTTTCTCTGGTGGCAATCCTCATCCAGATAGTGGCTATGCTTCCTTTTTTTTGTTCAATTCTTAATTGGCATTCAAAAGGCTCCACAGAAGCAAAATTAGCCAAAGTCATACATGGGGCATAAAGCCAGTTTATACTGATTAGTAGTCTACATTTTTCTTTTCTTACCACTCATTCAAAAGACATACACACAGTTGTGGCATGAAAAGAATGGTCAATCCACCTATGCTTTGGGAAGCCAGCTTCACACTGGTTGACTCACAGGTTTATAGCAGTGTTGAGCTAATATGATGTATTAATAAAAGTCAAATTAATCAGTATTTTTCAGAAAGCAAATGTAACTGAATTGACCATACAAAAAATCCCCAAAGTTGCATTAGTGCAATGTCTTCACTAAGTCAGCCAGAAATTCACAAAGCATTTTTGTGATCTTTTCGTTGGCCTTATAAAGCTACTACACTATTACAGAGTTTATATTGCAGACGTAGTCCTGTAAATGCTTTGGAGAAAAAGAATTCCTCCTTTTTGATGTTTCATGGGCACCAGAAGGCATTTTTGACTTAAAGTCAAGTTGTTCAGGATTTATACTTGTATAATTTATAACTTTGGTTAAAATGTAATGCAAGATATATTTTATTTACAGGTGGTACACTGAGGATTTATGCAGATAGTCTGAAACCAAATATACCTTACAAGACAATCCTGCTATCTACTACAGATACTGCAGATTTTGCAGTTATTGAAGCACTGGAAAAGTATGGTCTGGAAAAGGAAAATCCTAAGGATTACTGTATTGCTCGTGTGAGTCAATTTATTAAAGAAAATAGTTTCAATGTAGTTAGCTTTCAGAAACCTCAGTCATAAGAGTATGGTCTTAAAAACTTAATCCTGCTATTTCTATATAACAATGTCATTTAGGGGGGATTTGGTTCCTTTATTTCAGTAGTTACACATTTTAAATGCAATCTAATACATTTTACAGCAATTTCATTATCTTAAGTATTGCTGAAGAAAGAACATTATTTTCCTTTGCAAGCAAACAGTGACACAGTCAATCAATACAAACCCACACTCTGGTTACTGTCACATGCAAACCAAGATGAAATAAACATATATGCTGTTTTTTCTGCTTCTGGGTTGTTTGTTTGTCTTTTCCTTTGCCTGATTCCCTCCTGTATCCCAAATACCTTTGCAGCAACTGTAGTATGGGCACATATCATGGTTGGGATTTTTGACCCCTGTTGTGTGTGGTTCATGGTAAACCCTTGAGATGCAAAGATCAGGCCAGAATTGTATTTCTTGGACCATCCTGGACTTGGCCATAGCCAGGAAAAAAGTTGAGCTGAGATCTGGTCCATGAATGCTCAGGAACACTAGCAACTTCTTTGTTTAAAGTATACAGAATATGTAATTTGCACGAAGTAGGCAAAACCCACAAGTTACATATGCAGAAGCAGAACCTTGCTTGCACCGCAGATACTCAGCTGGTGTGCCTGCAGGCTGCCTCATAGACTTGCTTTCTGCCAGATGCCCATGTAAATGCTCACTGCAGGGTGGACTTAGAGCAGAGAGAAAGTGGACAAGAGGCCAGGGAGCTGACCAAGGAGATCCAACAGATTCCCACCTCCAAACTGGATTTCTCATATGTTACTAATTAACCTACAGTTTTATTTCATTTACTTATTTAAAATATCACTTAGTTCCTTTTCTGGGCAGAAGCCCACCCAAGATGTTGTATTGGTTTTATGTGTTTTATTGTTGTACACCATTAGAAACAAGCAGTAGGAACACAATAAAATAGCCAGGAGGAACATGGAATTAAAGAGCAACTAGTAGGCCTCTGTTCACCAACCAGTTTCTCCATATCCTTAGTTTGCACAAGCCAAATGTATGCATAGCATGACTAGATCATGTAACTAGTCCTGTCGATCTCTGAGTCTGTCAAAAGCAATGACATCCAAGTACTTGCAGAGTGTCTGGCTAATTGTTCTTAGTGGGACTTTGAGGGTTTGAATGGTTGTGTATTAAGACCTGCTTCTCAAATGCCTTTCACACTTGAGTGGTGGGTTGACACAGAACAACAAACCCTGTGATTTAACAAACCATGGTTAATTAAGCCATGGCTTAAGGTTGGTGCATCATGACACTCCTCAGACTTGCACAGTCTCCTCCCCATCCTTTGTGCATAGTTGAGAAAGAAAGCTTCCTCTTCTGCCTTTGAATCAACCACAGTAATCTGTCACTTGTGAACATGGAGAACTGTAGCCTGTTCAAGCTGTGGTTAGCAGACATTCTCATTCATTAATTAGCTACATTTAGAACAAGTTCAATCTAATGTAGTTGATCACTCTTGAGCAGGAGTGATGTGAGGGTGGGACAAAATTAACTTCCCCATTAGAAGCAAAAGGGAATTTGCTGTCTAAATTTGCCATCTATTCCAATGTGATGTATTTGAAATCTAGTACACTGATGGTCATTGAATATTGAGTACTGAGACACAGGTGATGAAAGAGTAAAGTTTCAGCTTTTTTTTGTCCTTCCACATTATATAGTATACTATCAGTCACAAAGGGCATAGCCGGGACACCAATTTGACAGTGAAACATGTACTAGGTTTTTGCAGAGTTGTGGGATTAAGTAGACTATTGGACTGAAAGGTGGAGCCTCTGTTCTATAACAATATCATTAAATACTGTTTATGCTGTCAGAGTATGGTGAGGAGAGGATAGTGTAACCTGTGAGTACCAATCCTCAAATAATATTCTGTGTTTACACATAGTTTATCTTTTCTGTAGGTCATGCTTCCTCCTGGTGCTCAGCATTCTGACGATAAAGGTGCTAAAGAATCTATTCTTGATGATGATGAGTGCCCCCTTCAGATATTCAGGGAATGGCCAAGTGACAAAGGTAATTTTAATTATTCAGTATATTTGATACAAAGCAGTGGCCATGTTGAGATGCCTTGCCAAGCTGTTGGCACAGAGGATGAATCAGAAGAAACCTTGGAACAATGTGCTCTATCCTCCCCTCGCATTTGGAAAGGTCCTGTTTACCTCATTGTCCACATGGCAAAACTGTTTTTCATGACCTTGCAAATCAGGATTGGAAACCGTGTTTGTGTGACAGGCAGTTGCTATCCAACAGAAAATGAAGGAGGTATAAATTCAAGGGTCCTGAAGGCTCATTCATAAACAGTGGCTGGACAATACATATGAACACAACCAGTGTTAACATAAAACTGCTTAAAATTTGGATTCATCTTTAATTTATTAATGACTTCTACTTTCATCAGGCTCTTCAGTTAATTTAAGAATAATGAAGGTTAAATGTGCCACTATATACTGAAAATAGTTTCTTTCTTCATTCCCTCTTATTGTGACTTTAGACTAATCACTGTGTGCTATCTGAGCTAACTTCATAGGGTTCATATGAGGATAAAAGGAAATACTGTGATTTGTTCTTTTTGAATCTTGGTCAAAAAATAAAATCAAAATAAATGAAGCTTAGTTGAATGTTAACATAACAGTTTAAAAACAGGCATGAACTCTGCAATTTTTAGTGATGGTCATCTTGACCATCATTTGCAAAAGGCCTTGCAAGACTAATTAGCAGAAAATACATTTTGAAATAAAATATATGAATACTATGCTGAAATCACAGGATCTAGAAGAAAAATCATGACATTATGATAACTAGTAGATCTTTTCGTTTCCTAATCCTAACTGAAATGTAATTCCTAATTTGATTATTAGCACAATCTCTTTAGTGCATTGAATCATTTACCATTACATATGAATGAGTCTTATTCCTATGTTAAATAGGAACTCAGACAATTTGTTTGTGGCTCTGGGCTTTAGGGATCCTGGTCTTTCAGTTAAAAAGGCGGCCTCCTGATTACATCCCAAAGAAGTTGAAGAAACAGCTTGATGGAAAGCCATCGAAGGGGAAGGAAAGAGTTGACGGGTCCGCTTATGGTTCTTCCCTTCCTCCAGAAAAACTACCTTATCTCGTTGAACTAAGTCCAGGTAAGAATTAAAAAAAAAACTCTTCATTTTTAGGATGCTTTGCTTTTCATGTTAAGCTTTCATTTGTGGTACTTTATACAATAAAATAGGGAGGAAAAGAGATTTCTAGGTTCAAAGGGTAGCTATAAGATTGCCAGAGAAAATCCATGGCAGCTCTTTGGTTGAATAAGTGATGTTAGATAAAATAATAGGCTCATGGGTATCAAGCTAAAACATATTAACATAATGCATATTGATTGTTATTAGTTTATATAGGTACAGTATAAACTTAGAATCTAAGCGGTTTGGTTGAAGCAGCATTGTGTGCCTACCCTAAACAATACGTTGCACCTGAATCATAAAATGAAGAAAAATAAATAGCCACTTCTACTGTTTGCAAAGCTTCAGCCAGAATTCACATGATGCTGCAATAAGTATGCTATATAAATATTTCTTAGGCTTCTGCTTTGCTAAAAACATACTTAGTTTTAACCTTATATTTCTTGTATAATATTTTACAGCGAGGTGGAAAAATTCCTTCTACGAGTGGAATACACTTTTCATGTGCAGTTGGGTATTTTTCAATCCTGTTACTAGTTTTAGTAATGATTTAGGGAAATGATACTAGAGCTATTTTAATTTGGGTTTTTCTAAACTTCTGGTAGCTGTGATTATTTTTTAAATGTGGGCACACATCATTCTTACTCCTACAAAGGTATACTTTTATGGGATGTTGATAATTATCCTTCCTCAAAGGAACTCAACCCATATATAATTGTTATGAATTAGAGAATGACTACAGATCAGAAAACAGCAAACAGCCCAGAGACTTGTTCAGAGACAGAACTGCTTAACAAGTTCTCACGGCAGATAGGTCTGTTGCATCTGTTCATCAGGAGTGATAAATTACCCACTGTAGTGGATTTTGCTTTGCAAGGGGAAGAATCTGAGCAATTGATCAGGCAAGCACCCAGCGAGGATTTCCCTTTGTGGGTGGCTTAACCAGATGGTTGCAGTCTTGCTTATAGTCCATCTTATGTATGCTGGGTCTGGGTCTGACAATGGTCAGCCACATCACAGGTATAGTGCACTGTGCCTTTTCCTCCTCTCCACTCAGTCTTCCTGCATGCATCCTATGGGACACCAAAACAGCACCAAACTTTCCCATCTTCCTGCCACTGTTGGTGCTTCAGCAGCAGTGCCATTCTGCTGTGCTCCTCCTGTCTTGTGCTGCAGCTTCTCAGCAGCAGAATCAGATGAGGGAGCTGAGCCACACTATCCTCAGCCTATTATTCTTAGTGGCTGCAGCACCAAGTTAGAGACAATCAGAGCCATTTTTCACCTGATAACTGCAGTGCAAGAGGGAGGCATTCATAAGCACAGCTACTTGCCCCCTGCACCAGCGAAAGTGGGAAACTTATGATGGCCGTCAGCTCCTTGGCTAGAATGGTGTGGCTTTTTTGCTACTTTTGACGAATGGCTCTGTAGCAGTTTGAGTTTGTTTGATGTTTAGGTTCAAGACAACAGAGTTAGCCCAGGGTGGCTACCAAACCCTAGAACAAGCAATGGCCTGTGGGGGGGCAATTTATGAACCCCAAAACTGGGCCTATGTTACCACCCTAGGTAAGTCATGGCAGGTTCATATGACAGGACAAAACCACCTGCTGTATGAGCCAGGGCCATTTTGTGTTGTAAGGACGGTGTCTCTGTGTATTTTGGGCCCATGAACACTGTAATTTAAGTTTTTCCTGGTAGCACATGATAAGTTCATGTAGTGCACAGATGTACACAATTGCACAGTTTGGAGATTATTGCTTGTTGCATGACAGCTGTTCTGGTATCACAAATAGCATATTGATAAAAATAGATTTTATTATAATGCTTTTCCTATAGCATGCTGACAAATACACTGTAGTTTAGAATATCTTTACTTTGCAACTATCTGGTTTATTCCATCCTTTTTTCTTTCTTTTTTAAAGTTCCTGATTGTGATTTGAATACCAAGTTGTGCTTATTTTGAAATGCATTCAGTTGAACATACAATATCTAGGTCGCTAACCAGCTTTACAGAACGGGAAGACATTTTGTGTGTGTGTATGTTTTATTGTTCTGTATCCTTCTCTGTTACCATGCACAATTCAAAGAGCTGGCACTTGCCTTTAAAATAATAAATGGTTTGGGGAATGTGTACCTGCCTTCTCTAACGTGAGCCCTCCCATATGATGAGATCACTGGCCTGTCCCTTGAGTGTTCCTGTTGTATGAAGTGACATAGGAGGTAATGGGGAAGGGTTTTTTTGTTGGCATCTCTCTGCACTTGGAATGCTTTCCCCAGGGCTCTCCTTTTCCTATCATAATTCTTTCCCATCATCAGGTGAAAGGCATTTAATGTTCCCAGGCCTTTTAATTCTGTTTTATCTGTATGCTGCTGCTTTTTTGTCATCATTGTTTTATTATGTATTCTGCAGTGTTTTATTTTGTTTGAATTTATTTTAGTTGAAAGGTGGCATATAAATTCTTAAAATAGACATGACACTGTGTCTTTCTATAATATGTATGCAGCACATGATTGATCCTGTTAAGCATGTATCATTGATTTCTGGTGTAGAAAGAATGTTAGACACAAACCAGCTTTTTTTCCTGTGAATGGCAAAATTTTTATTGTTTTGTAATTGCCTTGGTTAACTGCAGTTTTGAAAGTAGGTTTTTTTAATATTTTCAGCAAAGCAGTATGGGAAATGTCCATATTTTGTACAAAGTGAATTGTCGGTGATATTGAAGGAGAAAATAACAATATTTTTCATTGGTAGCAGTTTGAAGTCTCATTTGAGCATTTTGGTTATATTTCATAGCTTGAATAACGTAATTTAAAAGGTATCAGCCAATATTTTTCTAAGGTTTGATAAAGCATTGTATGGTTTGTGAATACAATAGCAATACTGTTTAGTAACACTCTAAACAAACAGCATATCACAGTCTTAAATCTTTTCAGGGTTAAAAAAGTGGCTTTGAATAGGCCCTTGTTGAGTTTCATACAGCTTGTTTTCTATTAGGGGCATGAGAAGTGGTTCCTCATGCTTTGAAAGTTAATTTTGGTTTTACCTATTACAAAGAAATCTTAGCTATGCAGTTAGATCTATACCTAATAGGAGAGAAATTCACAGGTATTTTTTTCCTGTTTTGGGCCTTTGCTGTTACTGATTTTTACACATCAGAAAGAAAAATATAATGCTGCCAGAAAGAATATGCAGCTTTGACCATGTGAGGTATGGGAGGTATTTAATATGCAATATTTTTCACTTGTGAAATTAACATGAATGTAGGAAATTTTGTTCTTCAAAGCACATGAAATTGGATATGAAACTTCTTTTGTCATTGAATACACACTTTGGATAACCAGCAGATAGGGTGGGTACCTGCTGCATGTACTTGCAGCAAAATAAACTCCACTTCCCTTCGTATGTGGTAGCACATGTGCTCTTTTTATATGCACATACTGCTCTGTAGGGAAAATATTGCATGACAACTTCTAGAAAATATGCTATTCTGCTCTGTAATTTGGAACTGTGTAGGAAACCAGGCTTATGCGTGGGTAGATCATGACAGTATTCTGTGTGTATGTGTAAGGTGTTGGATGGTACTGGATACACTCATAGATGATAAATGAGTGGAAGACGTCAGCATTTATAACACAAAATGAAAGCCTAATGTGAAATAAGTTTCTAGCCTGTGTACAGTTAATTATGGCCTTTCCACTTTTCTTGGTGATTTTCTGTGCTTTCTTCTAGCAACTTGTTGCCAACTACTTAATCGTATTAATCCATCCACAACACCAATGTCTATATATTCTGTGCAGTTTTTAAAGCTGAAAGTGTTAAAAGCACTACATCCTTTTAAATTGAGTAAGTGTTGTTGGCTTACAGTTTCACTCTTTCCTATCTTTTCTTTTCTTGGCCCTCTTCCGCATGTTCTGCATGGTATCTGTTCTGCTGATGCTGCCTTCACCTGGGTCCTGTGCATGTGTTTTCTAACCCCAGGGAGAAGGAATCACTTTGCCTACTACAACTATCACACTTACGAAGGTAATGCTATTACTTAATACTGTTCTTTTTCACTAGTCACTAAAACCTGTGTTGGCAAAAAGGGCTTTTCTCCACTTTGAAAATGGAAGTCTTTCATTTTTCTTGTTTCATTTTTCTGAAGAAAAAACCCGTACTTGGACTTCGGGAAGATTAGTGTAGGCTTTCACAATTCCTAATCTATTGTTTTGGTATATGGAGAAGAGGAGTTAACCCAAATTACACATTTTAAAGTTATCAGAATGAGTACCATGTCCTAAATAATAGCATAACTAAACTTTCAACTGCTCATCAGGAGTCCACATGTTGTTCTTTCATATTCTCTGTACTTTGATTTTTATCATGCATAGCAATCAGGGCATTGTGGAAAGGATTTGACATTCCAAATCCTAAATTCTTTTGCTCATGCACGTTTAGCAGCCCCTGAGATAACCAGTAATACTGCTGATAATCTGGGAAGGACAGCATGGGGCCAGAGCCATCTAGATAGCAGCCTACCAACTAATAGAACAGAATTACTGAAGATTCCCTGACTAAGGTTATGTACATATTGGCTTGGGCAAATAACTCAAACCTACATGCTTTTAATTTCTACTTCTATTTAGAAAGCTTTCACAGATTGGTAGGTAACACTGTTTTTTTTTTCTATTTTTGATTATTTGTACTTTAACTTTTAATGGAAGGGATTTCAGTTTGCACTGGGTATGTGTGAGAATGCACACATATTTGTATTCCAACATGATGGTGTTTTATTAAGGTAATAAACAAAAATATTTATGAATCTTTTCAGTTCCTGGCAGGTATCAGCAATAAATCTTTAAAGAAACAAACAAAAAAAAAGACAACCATGTAATGGTAACGCATTATATTTAATGTGACAGTAGATACATAGTAGTGTTGCTGCTGTTTGTGAAATACCCCGTTCCTGTGATTTGAGTGTCAACTGCAAAGTTCTTATGAGTTTGGTCTCTGTTTGTATGTGAGGGTTTGGGATAATGTTTGAAAACCGGGCAGACATTTAAAATCTTGGGTCTAAAATCTTAGCTCATCCTGTGAGGCACCAGCTTTCATCAGTGAAATGGGGAGGGGGAAGTTTCCCCACTCTGCTGCAGCCCTCCTAAATTCTGGAGGGTTGGAAAAATCTGTTCTAAATGTGGGAGATAAGCTTTGAACTGGGGAATCTCTTATTTTCAGTTCAATCCCTGTGCTGTGCTAGCTCTCATTAACTTAGACCTAATACTTGTAAACCACTCAGAGAGCTTCAGCTGTAGGCAATATAGAAATGAAATAAATATGCAAAGAAAAAGGCAAGCCATAGAGGTCTGATGTTATGAGTTGGTTTATCTGGTTAGAGCAAACCATACTTTCCTTTAGTTTGGAGGTAACATGCTACTTTGGATTATTGTGAAATCAAAATTTTCATTAGTAGTCCTTGCCTGCAGAGGAGAGGGGTGTTTTGAGTTCATAATTCATTCACAACCACCCAAAGCAGAGCTTCAAGTTTTGGCCAGTAGGTGTCATCCTGATAGTAATCTTCCTAGCAATGGTGCATGTGATGATACTGACAATTGTTACGATCGCATATTCAGCAGTTGCGTGTACACATTTGTTAAACCTGAAAGTTCATATCTGTTGATACTTAATAACTGGATTTGATTTCACACACACACACACACACACACACACACACACACACACTTATATATATTTGGAATATACTATTCTTTAAACCAGGGTAGGGTTTTGCTGAATAAATATGGCATATGCACATGCAAAGGAATCGCTAGAGAGAGACTGGGTTCACATGTCATGACACACAACCCTGCAAGGGTTACCATAGTTTGAGGTTTCTTAACTTGAAGTGCCTGACAGGCAATCATGTTTGTGGCAGTAAGTCACCTCACTGTCATCATCACCTCTCTGACTTCCAGGTGGTATCTCAGGAGATAGCATGGGGAGGAATGGGCCTCTTCTGTTTGACAGGCATGATTTCAAGCTGAGTGCCCTGAATTGCAACAGAGAGGATGAAGAAACTAATCGGGCACCTTTGCTTCATGTTTAAAAGGGAACCAGCTGGGCAGGAAAACCAGCTTGGTGGCAGTGTAGAAAGGAACCCAGCTGAGTAACTGCTTCTTCTCCAAAGAAGATCTTTGGGGCAGGAGTCAGGCAGAGTGGGGTGTTGACAGCTGTGCAAAACAGCAGCTGTCAGTGGCCCTCCTTGGCTATTTGTTTGGAAAAAGTGGCAATGGGCAGTTCTTGCCAAGCAGCTGTTTGGTTAAGTACATAACTTTTTCCAGCCTTGTGCTCTAGTTTAGGGAAATTTTCAAAATGTTAAGGTCCATGATCACATTGGTATGTGTGAGTTGTGGTGAGGGAAGAATAATCCGGGTCAGTGGCATAGTTTTCACCATTCCCTATGTAATTTTCTTAATGAAAATCGTGTGTGTGTGTGTCTCCTCACTTTCAATAGTGTTGCCACAGGGGTATGGGTGCAAAGAGTTAGGTTCAGAGTCTTTGAGTGGGTGCTTACCTGTTACTGTTGTTTTTCGAGTGGTCATCTGTGCACTCACACAATCTACCACCAGCCCCACTGGGGTTAGGCTTAGGTATGTAAGCAACTTAACATTTTTACTCTTTGTACTGTATTGGCTTTGCTGAATGTGAAGTCAGTCCTATTGATCCTCGCTTGGTCCCAAGGGCACCTGGGCAGTCTCATTTGAACTGAGAGGAAGGGCTGGAACCCTTCCCTTTCACAATGGCTGCGGAGGTGATGTAGGGGTTCCTGCCAAAATGTTCTTGGCTACTAAATCTTCCTGGCAGTGTGCTCCATGCAGGGACAGAGACCATATGTGTGAAAGCACAGGTGACCATTTGAATAAGAGCAGTTACAGATAAGTAACTTGCTTTCCTTTCTGCATTGGCCGTGAGGAGGGGAGGAGGATTGGCGCATAACCACCCCCTCTAACGTTGGAATGCTGTCTTTGACCTTAGGTCCTGGATTCTGCATTATCTTATAGCTCCCTGAATGCTGCATAGGAGCCATAGAATCACTCTGTTGTTCCGTTTATAATGCAGAATTTTTCTGAGCACTTCTTTGAATTAGGAAGGAGAGAGAGAGAAAATATTCTGTCCCTAGAAATGACCGTTTAATTTGTGCATTGTTTACCTTGTGTACAGAATGCAGTGGAACTCAGAAATTGTGACGTACTTTGTTTCAACAATGTAGAGGCAGGTGCTTGTCTAAATACTGCAATAAGTTGGAAATGATCTCAACACAGATCATGTTGGAGTTTATTACTATTGATTCCTTAGTCTGGTCAAGATTGTTCTGCATTAATATTGCTCTTAAACAGTGTGATGTAAATTTTTGAACAGTGGTGATATTTTTTTAAAACAAGTGGGATCTAGGGAATTCTCTGCAGCGGGGGTGGGGAGGATTTCGTATATATGGCATGTGGTCCACAGGCTGTAGGCAGCCATGCCTGCAAAATTGCTGTTCTTTGTTGTGGTCTCCGTGCATCACACATGTAGGCTTTGCTGCAGCAGCTCAAGGCCTAGATTGAAGGAAGCCTCTTCAGCTTAGCACCCTGTCCCTCAGTTTCTTTTTGACTGTGCATCCAACCGCATTGCCTAGATTGGGAATCACTCTGCAAATAGTTTTTCTTTTTTTTTTTCTTATCTTCCCATGCTTTTTTCCTTGTGTTTTGTTCACCCTCATGTCTTTGCTTTCTTTGGGGGGGGGCGGGGGAGGTGTGTGTGTGTGTGTGTTGGGAGGGGCAGTGTTTCAGCACCCTGCAGACTAAGAATTGCTTTTGGAAATCCTGATGTTACCCATCCCGGTATATGGAAAATACTGTCATACATCAGCCACAAAATATTTCTGAAAATCATTAGAAAAATTGACCCCTGAATTATCTTTCTTTTAGATAGATAGTCTGCCTCATAGTAGCAGAGTTTAAGGACATGATGTACATCAACACAACTCCACTCATGTGGTTAGTGCCAGATCTGATGTCCTATAATTGAGAGGCACTTAAGGGTGCTATAACCACACTGCAATGTGAAGAAGCTAGAATTTTCTTTAAAAATATATTTTATAAGAGTTCTGTACATCAGCAACCTCTGAAAAATAAAATGAAAAATATTCTAGCATACCCTTCCAAGTTGAAAGAAAAGACTTCTGTTGCAATTTAAGTAACTTTTTGTGGCCTTTTAACAAGCAACCGTTTATGGAAAATAATTAACATTAAAGACAGTTCTTCCCTGCATATGTATTTTAGTACTCTCATATTCTCTCAGTTTTACTGCTGGTATGTTTTTATTTGTATTGTTTGAAGCTGCCATGTATTTAGGCATGAAGGCAGGATAGAAATACAGTATTGGATCTAGATTAAGTGAATCTATACTGATGGTGCTACCTCTTTGCTGATCTGGAAGTACCACAGCCTTATGAAGCAGATTTTCAGGGGGCTATGGTTGCGGGGGAGGAATTGGTGAAAATTGTTCCCTTTAATAGTAGCATCTCATAATTCAATACATAAAGATCACCTTAAGCTCCTTTATAAATTACTTTTGAAACCCTGAGGCAGCATTTGGTAATATAATATCACAGTGCATTCGTTTCTTGCAAATTAACAAGGTTTAATTACTTTTGTAAATAAAATGGTCTGTTCTTACTTATAGATGGTTCTGACTCCAGAGATAAACCAAAGCTTTATCGTTTGCAGTTAAGTGTAACAGAAGTTGGTACAGAAAAATTTGATGAGAACTCCATTCAGGTGAGGAAATAGTGGTTTGAATGAAGCAAACAGTTTCATAGGAGCTGTATTTAAACACCACAACAACAATTTGTTGCCATTAATATGTATTGTGATGAGCTTATGCATTTTCCCCTCTCCCTTTCTCTGTTCTTCATATGTGAGATTTAAGTTTTCAACACTCCTAGACATGATTTGGAGCAATCATGTCTGGTAGTATGGTTCCAGTATTCTGATTTGTTTACAAATATGGTTTGTACAAATCAGTTTCTCATATTTACACAAAACAAACCAGTTAATTCTAAAGAGCAGCCAGAAGCTTTAAATTCTTCCCCTTGCATGTGAAACAGGGGAATGAGAAAAAGATAGTATGTAAGCTCAAAGCTCATTGTAACTTGTCTTAGTTACAACAAATATGACATCTTAGTTTGACTGTAGCCCTCTGTGAATTTGGGAAAATAATAAATTGCACATTAATAGTCTGTTAACAACTAATAATAGTTTTCAATGTGACTACAAAATCTGTTTCATTCTAATCACATTGCTTTATACTGATTTGAGCATTTTAAAATATTAATAACCATGAGCACTGGCTTTCTTTTTTAAAAAAGAGAACTCAATTTTGGAAGTTGTAGACATCTTTGGGAGAGAAAAGGGATCTCTGAGGCTATTCAGAACAGAGATCAAACTGTGCATTAACATTATGAGCATGACTTGAATGCTCTGCCCTTCCTCACTCTAGAGATTCAAATGTACGATCACATTTGCCATTTCTTCCTAGTTCTCTAAAAAATGGTTTGTACAAACCATGACTGGTTTGCAGACTGGGATTTTAAACCAAAGTTTTATCTAGGTTTGCAGTCCTGATATATTAGTATATTATGGTTTGTCTAAATCACACCTGGGAGTCTCTAATCTCTGTGGGTGTGGGAGGGGCATGGAAACGTTCATGAGCCTAAGGCTTATTCACTTACCCATGGTATGGCATTACATTTGATTAGTCTCAAAGTGAATTTTAGCTTCATTGTATTTCTGTTATTATTTTGTGTTTTTATATCCACTGCCATTTAAATTTGTTTCATTCCATTCTGTTTGGTGTTCAAAAACATTCACAATAGCAGTAGTGCCCCCTCTTCTGTTCTGCATCAAGAGCAGCTTACTGCAGTGAAACTTCAAGATCATTTGTGAATAATATTTATACAATTCACTGCCACAGAATAGTGTGAGAAAGTAATAGGCAGAAATTGCTGAACTGTAAAATTGTCTCAGTTCAGCTGGTTGTCTGGACAAAGCACAGTTACTGTAAAACTCTACCTTGCTTCTCAATTGTTTATACTTCTGAGTAGGATAATACTGTTCATCAAAGCAGATGTCAAAGGTATTAAAATAAAGCTTTTAAACTTTTTAAATTCATATGAAAGTTAATTTGAATTTAATTTCATTGCTTAAACTCAGGAGCTTACATGATACAAACATGTAAGCATCTCATGCTTACATGAGATGGGGTACATTTTAGTAAAAAGTGTAGCAGTCTAGAGTAAGAAAATACTTTTTATATTTTATTTCTGATAGATTTTATATTTATTTTATAAAAATTCATGAAAATTGTCCAGGTCAGGGTAGCTGGGCTTCATAGTTTACACTTAACCTTCCTGTGTGTGATTTCTATGAGTTCAGTTGTAATAGTAATAAAAATGATGAAAATTCACATATTTACTGATTGGAGGGACAATATTCTCTAGCAGTAAGAGAATAATCCATGTTGCTTAAACCAACAGAGTTGGTAGACTTTTCTAAATTCTTGACAACAAAACATCAATTTGCATATATACACAACATTTTATCATTCTTATCAATGTGTCATGTGGCAGTATTTGTTGGCTTTCTAATTTCAATCCAACCCCTGTATTAATGAGTTATATAGGCCCTGACACATTTATTTTAATGAAATTGCATGTATTGGTTCAGAATTGGTAATGAAATCCAGTTTATATCTTGGTACATTTGAACAAGGTATGTGCAAATTGCTGTAAGCTTTTTGAAAAGCCTAATGTCAGATTTATTGTTTCTGAATTTTGGTTATTTGTATTTTCAGTTGTTTGGTCCAGGAATTCAGCCTCATCACTGTGACCTTACTAATATGGATGGAGTTGTTACAGTTACTCCAACAAGCATTGATGCTGAAACATATGTTGAAGGTCAACGTATATCAGAGACCACTATGCTGCAAAGTGGTATGAAGGTTCAGTTTGGGACCTCTCATGTATTTAAATTTGTGGATCCTGTTCAAGATCACATTCCGAAAGGACGTCTAGATGCAGGTCACATGGTCAAAAGTTCAAGACACAAAGCTGGGTAAGTCACCATTTTCAGGCAAAAATCTAAAACTCAGAAGATTATTTAAGATGCTTGAAGATACATCAGTGTTTGATAGGATAAGGGGTAACTGATATTAGTAATGTGATTATCTGCTTAATCATGTTTAATGCTCCTCTTCCACCTTGTAAAATTTTCAGTTATTTGCATTTGTTTAGTTCATAATTAAAACTAAGTTAAACTTCCACCTGTAAAGCAGGATAAATGAATATAGTCAGGGCTTTTTTTGTCAGAGAATGCACCGGGACGGTGTTCCGGCACCTTTTTTTGATGGATTTTTCAAACGGATTTTTCCAAGTGAAAAATGCTGTCGGGCATAGCAGGTCGGCGGCAAAAATCATCAGTGCATGTGGACTGCTTGTGTGTCTGTGCTGATTGTGAGGGCGCTGCTCGGCTTGGGACGCTGCTTGGCTTGGGATTGGTCGTGTGGTTGCGCGCTGAGTGCTTACTGCCGGCGGCGACCATTATGATTATGTGTGTGTAGAGTGACTGGCTATGTGCAAAAGGTAAATAAGTTCTTTATTTCAAAAAAAGTTGGTGAATTGAAAATCTTTTTTAGAGTAAAAGTGTGACCCCAAGACATGAGTCCCGGCACTTTTTTTTTTTTTTTTTTTTTTTTACAAAAAAAGCACTGAATATAGTCAAGCACGTGTTCAAGGCAACATATTGTGTGTGGGTAAAGCCAAATTGAAAAGTACTAACTCTCTGTATTGATTCTCCAAGAAAGGAAGTCAACAGTGAAATGACATACTTGTAGGTGGTACAAAAATATTCTAAGGAATTACATCTAAAATAGATGAAGAGGAATTTCATGTCATAACATAGTTAGAATGTGTGAGGTGATGATGATGTTCAGTTTATATAACTAGTAGATGAGAATGCCATTCTCTATTTCCTAGGGAGCTAAATTGACTCTTGCCATTTAGGAAGTGCACTGGCTATCAGAATGGTATTTCTGTTTTCAAATTGAAAATGTTAGTAATTATTACACAGTTGCATATCTTATGATACCATAGAGTATGATGTCTAGTTCTGTTGCCTGAAAAGTAGACAAGGATTCCCAAAAGATACTGCATTTTTTTTAAATGATGGACATATAAGCTGTTCTCTGTGTCATCATATTAAACATTGCAAAATGAGAGAGATCCTAGACTACAGAACATTACAACCAAAATTTAAATAATACCAACAACAGAAATGGAGACTAGAACAGTTGATGAAATTCAGATTCCCAAAAGGTACTGCATTTTTTTAAAATGATGGACATATAACTGTTCTCTGTGTCATCATATTAAACACTGCAAAATCAGAGAGATCATAGAACTACAGAACATTACAACCAAAATTTAAATAATACCAACAACAAAAATGGAGACTAGAACAGTTGATGAAATTCAAATAAAACAATTAGGCTTAGAAGTAACTTATATTTAAGTAAGAATGTTTTTGCTGGCCTTTGTAATGGGGTTATTGTACAAGAGATCAAACACCTGTATTTATTGGAATAAAAGATATAGTAAATTGTATTTTAAGCTGCCAGGAAGGCCTCAGCAATTATAGGCAGCCTATAAATATATGTAAATAAATAAATAAATTGTAACTAATAACAAAGCTTAACAATTGGTCAGAACATTACTGTGCTATATGCTAATTGAATGTTCATAATTACCAAATTCTGGAATGTGTGTTGTCTTCTCAGAACTATTCAAGAAACTACATTTGATTTGGAGGGAGATATCCACAGTGGAACAGGATTACCTGCAAGCAAGGTAACAGATTGTTAGTATATCTAAACATGTGGTGAATAATTAGAACTTGAAAACTGATTGTTTAAATACATTTTAATGATATACTGAGTAGCATAACAATGCACTGAATCTTAACAGAAGTAGCAAGTGAACTTCATGGGTAAGAGTAGTTACTTCTACAGGGCTTTGTTTGGTGGTAGAAGAATTAACTAGGAAAAAGGGTTTTATATATAAATTGGGAGGGGGAACTCTAGGCCCTTCAGTAGATATTGGAGTGCAGTTCTTCACTATTGCCTATGAGGGCTGGGGCTGATGGTACTTGGGGGTTATCAGCCTCTGGAGGGCTTCAGTTTGCTTATTCCTGGCATAAACCTTAAAGCCTTGTTCAGACATAAGAGGCCTTGAGTGTTTCTTTCAAATACTCAAGCTTTCAGGCCACCTTTTTCCTTCTCTGTTGTACACAAGAGACTGAAAGCTTCTCTTTCAGTATGATGTTCATACTTGGAATTGGGTTTGTTTAAATGGCCTTTGGGACATACACTGACCACAAGATTTAGTTTGGATCCTGATTCAGGGACTTGGAAAAGAGCCTGATTCAGGGGCCAACTGCTTTGTCCCTAGTTTGGATTTTGATTTCAAAATTCAAATCATCATGCCTCCCATTAACATTAACTGGAAAACAAGCACTGTCTATAAGCTTTATCTTTTTGTGAGAATTGGGTAAAATTTGCTAGTTTTCAGTAAAACCTTGCATTTGTTATTTCTATTGTCGAAAGATCCATTTGATTATTGTTGAAAACAAAGGTAAACAGAGATAGTAAAAGGAAATAATGGCACAAATTTGGCATTGAAATTACTTTATACTTTATTACGCATGTATTTTAGGTCTTTGTAAATGGAGGAAGGTTAGATTTGAGTTACCTTCCTTCATGCACACATTTGCTAAACAGCATTTAGATTTTGGATGTTTTTTCCTTTAAATGCTTTAACTATAGTAATCAAGGACAGGATAGGCATACTTCAGGTTTGTTGTCAGTGCTATCCAACACTGCTACTGTATGTCCACTCATTCTGATGTGCCTGCAGTACCAGCTACTAGTTCAACAGGAAACTGTCATCTCCTAACCCAGATCTTTCTGCAAAATTGACCCACCCCATTTTAGAAAGTAGTCTTTGGTCTCATTTCCGGTTGCTTCAAGAACTGCTAGCTTCATATTGTGCTGGTGGTGGGTCTTACTAGTGTGGAGGCTACATTGTATGCTCCTCAGTTTGGTGAATCTTAACATTCTGGTAAAAAAAATCAGAACCAGTTGCAAAGTCATGCACATAGAATTTATGGTGCATAATCTGAGCTTGAAGAACTTATTTTCAGTATAAGAACAGAACTGAGTTCATAGTATTTTCATATGTAATTCACTCCTGCTTATTCCAAGTATCCTGTATTTCAGCAGCCTAGTTTAGAGGGAGAAATCCTTTTGTTGCTTCTGTAGGTGAAAACTGGAAGATAGACAGCTTTGGTAAATGGTATTAAATCACTCAGTGTTCTAACCGTGAATCCTGATCTACTTTTTCACAACATTCTCTAGAATGAAGTGTTTTAACTTCAAATCACTTTTTTCACAGTAATTTGACCTGGACTTAGCTCATATCTTTCATGGAATCTTAGGAATTTCTAGTTCTAGGAAGGGCTGTTTTAGGGTAGAATAGAATGAACCTGCAAATGTATCTAACTTTAACCTATAGTTGTGGTGGAAGATTGCCAGTAGTAGGTAAACTGTCTTTCATAAATCATGTCCATCCTTCCTTACCTTAATGAGGGATTCCATGATATGTTTGGAAGGATCCTCAGGATTCCTTGAAAGATATATTTTAAGCTAATGTTTGATGGCATTGAGGCATGAATGACTGCTCTGTTGTTATGTCGTTTTGTTCTCTCTCTCTCTCTTTGAGATATATTAGTGGATATATGAATGTATGTATATGCTTTGATTATATATGCTCTGATTTATATCAGCTGTGAAACAAGTGTCTACTATGCTTTTTTCATAAATGCTTCTCATCTTGCATGGAACAGAGTACCAACAGATTGGACAGTGATAGAATGTCAGCATCCAGCACAGCTGAACGAGGCATGGTAAAGCCAATCATCAGAATAGAACAACAAGATTACCGCAGGCAGGATGGCAGGTACCAAAAGATATTCTTGAATTTTTCACACTGAAATGGTCAGATCAGATTTTTTGAAAATCAAACTTCGTTTAACCAAATTATTTTGGATTGAATATGATTGGGAAATATACAGCTTTTTAAACATAAAGGCACTTAATCAAGTCCGTTTTGATTAGATGGTTCATTTAATCTTTAACAGCTTAAAATATTATATATGAACAACCTAGAAGACTTAGAAATGATAATCTCAGGTAACTCTACCAATAGGTTATGTAATGTACAGTCACTATTATTCATGCCTCCATTATGGAGTGAGGGTTCTGCTTGCATGATTTGATTGGACTACTCCTGCTTTTGAGCTGAGCATGATTTCTGTTCTGGATTTCTCAGAAAACAGCTTTTTTTTCAGGGCTCTTTTCAAAGCAAGATGTTTTCTTCAGCCAGGAAGAGCAAAGAGGTAGACTTACCAATTCTGTCACTGGACACAATTCCAGTTCCCTTGGATTTAATAAGTTGGAGAGATGCTTCTTTTATATGATGGCATGAAAGATACTGGGTTGTATCCAACTCGTCTGCCATTGGAGTAGAATTCACTCTCCAGTCCCCATGTTGGACATGCTACTGAAATCCGCTTCGGGGGACACTGCAGAGTATATCTGAGAAGCATGGAAAGGCTGCTGTGGGTTAGGAACATGAAAAAAATTGTGAACGGATGCCCACTTGTGTTCATGTTAAATTTAACTCATAGTTCTTTTATGGGGTAAGGGACCTGCAGGGAAGTAAATATGAAGCTTCAAATAATCATGAGTAGGAAGAAGTGAATCCATTCTGTGTGTGATCCATCTAAAAATAAAGTATTACTTTGCACTGAATTTTAAATGAACTATAAGTAACTATATAGCCGAATTATACTGAAATAGCAATATGTGAAAATTTATTTCATGTAAATGGCTTTGTATAGAAGCTGTTTGACTAAGTCTTTAGGACATAGATTAGACTAGTCTTTAAACAGTACCACTAAAGGGAATGGGTGTTCAGGGTGGCTTACATTATACAGGGCAAACAAAAATGACAGTGTGTGTGGCAATAGGATGATATAACCCTTTGTGTGCAAGTGGGACTTCCCCAGTCCTCAAGAGGAAAGTCCTGCACACTTGCAGAACTCCATTAGGATAACCAGGAATCCAAACCCTTAAATGTATGAGGGGTTCTGTAAAAACTTAAATTTTTCATCTTCATATCACATGATTTGTCATCAGTGATAGCAAAACACAAATCAGTATTTCATATGTCTTCCTTTAACATTGGGGAGGTGCACGTCCGCTCCTGCACACACCAGTGAAAGATTGACAAAAAAGCCAATAATAAATTAAACATAGCATTGTACCGTTCTCTTGGGAAATATGAAAATATGACCCCCAGTAGTGCATGTTTGAGACTTCAAAAACAAAAGAAAACACAACAGTATCAAATGAAGAGAAATAACAATTGGAATAGGAGTTAGGAAACAAGACCGATTCTGCCACAAAGGACAGAGGTATACCAGCTGGAGAACTGAAGGGAAATGACAGGGAGAACAACACATGGTGAGTCTGAACATCTGCCAGGCACACTGTGGGGTGTTCTACAAACAACTCATACAGTGTAGTTTATTTGTAGGGTGGCTTAGCATGATGTGAGAATGCAGCCAGTGTCATATTAAATTATGGTCAAATGCAAGCAATGAACACAGACCTAATTAAATGTTCTCTTGTACAAATTCAGCTGAGCTAAAGGAGGGCATTGAGAAAAAACCATAATAGTGAATGCTTTGCTGAATTTACTTACATATAGGCATGTCTCAGTTGTCAGTTTCTTATGCAACATCAATAGAAAGAGTTATCCAATTCAGGATCAGCAAGTATTTCAAAATTAATGGATATGTCTGTATATTAATTGAGAATATGGAGAAATGTTTAGTGATAGTGAAAAGGTGAAGTGATATAATTTCAGATTGCAGAGTGATTGAGAAAAATAGTTTGTGTCCACAAATCTTTGGAGTTTTTAATTTATATCTATGCAATGCTGCAATCATTTTTATTTTAGTTTTAACTCTGCTGTAGTTAAAACTTTGTGTTCTTGATGCTTGTAATATTTTAGAATCTGCCACATTGGAATTATTTATATAGCAGTGGCAAAATTTTATTTCTGTGCATTATATAGCAACCTGCTCTCTCTTGCTGTCTTTCCACACATGCACAAACACATGCATACACGCAAAGTAAGCATATGCTTGAGTGGTTTGAAATCTAAAATAATGTTTAAAAATCGTTAGCTTAAAACAGTGTTTTTCAGTGGAGTCAGGTCACATGTTAGCTATTAGTCATCAAGTGATAGACATGCACTCTAGGTCTCATAAAAATAGGGTAAATGTTTTAAAAGGTTTTTCTTTATTATGTTGTATAACATTTGTAGATTTTAACATAAGACTGATAAAGTAACCTCTAATTCTGTTTTGGTATAACCATGTTTGTTCAAAGTAACATGAGCTATTTGCAGTAGCTGTTAGGTTGCCTAGAGCAGTATGTTGTGTTCTGAAAATTCATTAATATTGCAGACTTTCAGTTCAAGTTTGTACTGTGATCGCTTTTGTTAGTGGTAGTGGTAAATTAACTTGAGAGCGAATTAAACAAGAATTGAGGAGAAGCACTGCATTTTTCCAGTGCTTTATTTTTCAGTCGTCATGAACAAAAATGCATATAATTTCAAAAGCAGAGCCTTTGCAGAAATGTGTATCTTTTGGAAGTGGAATTAATTTTTACTCTTGGAATGGGACTTTTGAAGATTTGTTTTCTGTCTGTAGACCTCAAGATGCACATGGACCTGAATTGATATTGCCTGCAAGCATTGAGTTCAGGGAAAGCTGTAAGTATAATAATTTCAACCAAAATCTGCCCGGGTATAAAAGCAAATAATAATCTTCATCATCATAAGCTTTATCTGATATGATGGATACTTGAAATAAAGAAGTTGTTGAAAAGTATATGTCATATTTTCCCTTCAGCCACAATCTAACATGCCTTACAAAAACTAATAAAATACTTCAAAGAGTAAACACTGTTCAGTGTTATGGCTATAAATGCTATCCCCTTTTCCAAAGTGTTTCCTCCTGCTTTCTAGCTCTATTTCTGGTAGAGATTTATTTTAGAAATTATAGATAAAAGTATCAACGAAAATAAATTGCACTGAAAAAAACAAGCTTCCTTCATGTATATCCAATCCTCCAAGTGTTCCAGGAGCCACTGCCAGATAATTTGAATTTTTCACTTAAAGCAAGCCACTCTTCCCTTGCCAGCAGCATCTTGTAGGTTTCAACAGGCTGAACCTGACACCTTGATACTGACTACAAACTACAAATACTGCAAGTAACAACTGGGGGGGGTTGATCCAGTTTTAGCCTCCATATATATTACATATACATTTGTAGTGAGTGGAATGTGTCATATGCAGGAGTGTGCAGATGCAGGTGGCGCAGTGGTTTAAACTGCTGTGCTGCTGGGCTGGTTGATTGAAAGGTCGCCAGTTCGAATCTGCACAATGGGGTGAGTTCCTGTTGCTCCGTCCCAGCTCCTGCCAACCTTGCAGTTCGAAAGCATGCAAATGCAAGTAGGTAAAAAAGGTACCACTTTGGTGGGAAGGTAACAGCGTTTCGTGCACTTCGGTGTTTAGTCATGTTGGCCACATGACCACAGAGACTGTGGACAAACGCTGGCTCCCTCGGTTAGGAAACAGAGATGAGCAGCGCCCCCTAGAGTCAGACATGACTGGACTTAACGTCAAGGGGAAATCTTTACCTTTAAATCAGCAAAATGTGAGGTTGCTAAAGTAAGCCAAAATCTTGAAATTTATTTTAATCCAAGTCTATATCAAGTATTAGCTTTGTTTTTTCTTTTTCTGTATTTTAGTGTACATTTTCCAGAAGTACACTTGAGTTGTGCATATATTTGTAATGTACATATTCTTCTCCCATTGATTAAAGCATATTTGCATGCATTTTTTCAAAGTATACCATTTTATGTACATTTTTCCAATTTGTACATGCTGTTTAATGTCCTTCATTTTGTTAGTGAATCACACTGTAAGCCTGAAAATTTATGCACTTCACCTGCAGACTGCATCCAAGGCTGTGTTTGAGTTGGAAGGTGCAATCTGGATAAATTGTGTTAAAAAGACATCGAAGCAAGTTTCTCACATGTTCCCAGTTATATTTAGGACAACAGAGATAAGTGTCAGTGTTTCTTTTTGAAAAGGTGAAATCACAGTGTCAGAGGAGGTAGAATAGGCTGTTTTCCTGACCATGTTTTCAGTTTCTGGAATGAAAATCAAACATAGCACCTGGAAAAACAAACTGGAATCTAGAGAACTCCAAACATACTTTCCTGCTGAAGTAGGAGGAAACATAGGTCTAAAGGTGAGGAACTGTTTTAAGTGATGCCTTCCGTTGCCTTGGTGGAATGTGTAGCTCAGGCTCTGAATTTGGAACATAGATGTCATCTTACACACACACACGTTTGTTGAGGGAAGATGTTGTAGCAGGTCAGACATGGGTGCTGCTGAAGCAGATCTAGTATTGCTAGGTAGGGCTAATTAAATTCCACTTAAGTTACCCACTTTAATCAAGTGTGTGATTAAAGTGTGAACAACTAGAAGGATGAATTTGTTTGCCCAGATTATTCGCCCTGCAATTTTGATGTGATTGTTATGCCACACTGTGAAGGATTTGAAGGGAGTATGGGTCATATGGTGAGAGGTCAGCATTTTTAGGCTCTTCTAGTGGCTACAATAATTATAGCAAATCTGTTGTACCAATTTTAAGAATTTAGAACTTAGTGGATACCAGCATTCATGAAGTGCCAAAGACTACTTCCAGCCTTAGTTGACTGTTCTTTGCCACATGTTTCTCTTCCAACTGGCCTGAACCACCAAGAATAAAATGTGACATTGTTTAAAGTTTGCCTGTTCCATTGGAAACTGCAGTTTTGTGTTCAAGGCAGGGTCTAGCACTTGGCCCCAAAAAGAAATACCTGAGAAATTGATCTATGCTCTGGTACTTTTTACGTTTGACGAACAGTGGCAAATGTCTGAATGTATATCTAATGGGGTATAATGTCAGTTTTTAAAACATTTGTTTTGCCCTTGAGACTGAACATTAGCACTTCTTCAGATCCAGTTCAGTTTTCAAAAACAAGTTGCCCTGTGCTTTTGTTGTATAGCTTTAGGACCATGATATTTGAAGTGGCTTGAACTCCAGATGAAAGGCAGCAAGCCTGGTTTTGAGGGCAGTACTCAGGGTTGTCGTGTGCTCAGAGAGCCAGTGAAGTATAAGAGTGCAACACTGGAACTCAGGCAGTTTGGGTTTTAGTCCCGGCTTGGCCATGGAGCCAACTAGTTGACTTGGGCCAGTCACAGACTCTCACAGACTCTGCCTAAAAGGGTTGTTGTTGTGGGGATAAGATTGAGAGCAGGAAGAGGAGAATATAAGTCACTTGGAGCTTGTTGTATGAAGAAAGGGGAATATAAATCTAATAGTAAATAACCATGTCTGCTTTTGACCACTTTCATCATTGGATGTCTCCAAAGGGTATAAGATTCATCGCAAAAGGGACTGATGGTCAGTCAGCAATTGGCATAAAGACCACAAGAGACTTCACTCATGCCCATCTTCATCCACTTGATTTCTTCACCTGCTAGAAAGTGCTAGTGAAATAGAGAGCTAATATTCTCTAGTGGTTAAAATATCCAACTAGGACCCAGGTTTGAATTCCTATTCATCCTGAAGCACACAGAGAGACCTTAGGCCAGTTACTGATTGGGTTCACATGACACAACAAGCCGTTGTAGGTAACTAGTCATGATGAATTTTTATGTTGCCTAAACCCATATCACTTCTCATATGCTTTTAAGTGCTCTTAGGATCTGGTGTATTACATTTATTTATTTATTTATTTATTTAGAATATTTGTATGCTGTCCTTTTGCAGAGCCTCAGGATGGCTTACATAAATAATAAGAATAGAATAAAACATAATACAAATAAAATCCAGATCCACCCTGGCTGCAGATTAAAACCTATATAGCTAATATTAAAAGTTATTAAAATATTGTTGAAATAAAAAGGTCTTAGCCTGGTGCCGAAAAACAAATAATGACCTCTCTGGAGAGCGCATTCCACAGGCAGGGCGCCACCGCAGAGGAAGCCCTCCTCTGGTTACTTTGCCTCCTAATGTCTTTCATGGAGGGTTCCCAGAGGAGGGCCAAGATGCAATTTTTGCATCTCGCTACCTTTATCTTGAAAGGCAGTCACCTGGGTATAGTTGTTACAATTAATTATTATTTAATTATCTTTAACTTTCCCTTATAAAATTCTCACTCACGTAATGTGTAAAATCTGATAGTATGGAGAGTAGGAATGAATCATTTAGCCTATTGTTGTTTTTTTCCCTCAAGTCATGCCATAAAGGCTTCATATTCTTGTAGTAGGATTTTATTTTTAAAGGAGTACAATTACAAAAAATGATATAAGAAAAGGAAACAGCACAAACTTCACTAAACACACATACACACAAGATAAGAACAACAACAAAATAAAAAAATAAAAATCACACTTAGTGCACCCCTCCACTGGGCCAGGGTATACAATACTGTTTTCCCCCTTCATTTTTCTACTCTTTTAGGAATACCCACTTGCATCCAAAATTGCATTATATCAATTGAAGGTTTACTACTCTCCCCTTTTATTAATGCATATTCAATAAACAAACCCCATATATTGCCACAATCATTCTTCTTTATTAGTCCAAACTTCTTTATACCATTCAATTAGCTGAACATCCAATTTTTCCTTCCATTTGTTTGCTATTACCAGTTTTGCTGCCGCCGCCAAATGTATTAATTCTTTAGTATTCCATTTCTTTTCACAAAATATGAACAACAGTGCTTCAGTTTTTAAGTTCAATATCTTGCTAATCTTCTTAAAAATATTATCCAAAATGTCGTAATATTTTCACAACTCCACCACATTTGGAAATAGGTACACATTTCTTGTCCACATCTCCAACATAAATCAGAATATTTATTAAATAATTTCACTGCTGTCATGTACCATTTCCATACTAATTTATAAAAGTTTTCCTTAATTCTAATTGACATACTTTTAAATATTCTCTCATCCCATATTCTTCCCCATTCTTCCTTGTCTATATGCTTCCCTAATCCATTTCCCATGAAATTTTAAAAAGATCATATATGTACTCCATGTCTAATTATATATCTCCCTGATAATCTCCCTTGTTTGCATAATACCTTGCATCTCCCTTTTCATCACTATCTCAATGTGATCTCTACACTTACGATCTTGTAGGTAGGAATTGAGAATTAGCTTCACTCATCTCATATTGGTTTACCAATGTTTTCTGTTTCTGCAGCTGAAGATGCCTTTTTGTCTGCCATTATAAATTACACCAATAGTTCAACTGTTCATTTTAAGTTGTCCCCGACTTACGTTTTGTACATGACATGTCGGTATGTATTATCAAGCCAGTATAGACCTGACATCAGTCCTGCTGAACGTACTCACAAAGTCATTGCAATAGTAAACAAGATGGTGAGCATGATGGAAGGAGTTATACAGGTGAGTTTCTGTCTTAAGAGACATAATCAGAGATTAAATGATTATATTTTCATAAAATTACTTTTTACAGAAAGAATTTGCTTTTTCAGGATTGTTTTACGTGTCAACTATGGTAGCATTCATACATAACCTGTGTGAGATTGGACATAGCGCAATTTGTAATATTGTATGAAATAACTCTTCAGTTGCAGCAAAGAAATATTCAAGATTCTCTAGTAAATAAACCTAGAAACTATCTATAATATTTGTATTGAATAAGGTATTCTTTGTGTAACACTGCATTGTTATGGGATGATGAGTACTACATTCAGGTCATCAAGGATTGGATAATGTGTACATATTAGTATTGAAATATTTTGCTGGTATAAGCTTCCAGTTCAGTTTTTTTGTTTCACACAAACATTTATTATCAACACAAACTGGATTTTACTATTAGGAACTTGAAGAGGTTTTCTAGTTTAAGTTCTTTTTATTGTGTAGGATCCCAGTGAGTTCCCATGAGTGGAACACTGCTCACAGGATACCCTTCTGGAGTATTGAGTCCTCCTTTCTCCTTGAAAGCTGTTCGAGAGGGACTCTTGGGAATGATGTGAGGACTGGAGTGGGAAAACTTAAGAATGGCTGCTGTTTCATTTCTTCAACACAGGGATAAAGAGAGCGCTCCAGTTGTTTGGACTACAACTCCTACTAGCTGGGGCAGATGGGGTTATAGGAAAGCACAAGGTTGCTTACCTCTGCTCCAGCAGGAGCCTCTGCTAGATCTCAGTCCTTTTCAAAACCAGAAGCAACCATTTCATTTATGAAAAAGACATGCTAGATCTAACCCATTGGGCCTGTTCACACAATTGCCACAATCCACTGTGGCTTATTTAAGCCAGGGTGGACTGGTTACAGTGTGTACATTTAAATATTCAAGCTGTGGCTTATTATGACATCCAAACATAGCTAAGGTGGCCTGTTGCCATGGTCAACAAACTACATACAACTTGTGGGTTATTTTTTTGGATTTTGGTTGGTTTGTTAACCATAGTGACAATCCATTATGTGCTGAGTTTTGATTTTACAGTAATCTGCAGTGACAACTGCCATGGTCTGAATATTCACAATGGCTGCCAGCATGCACCAGAATCCACCATGGCTTATTAGATAAACCATAGTGCACTGTGACAGTCATGCAAACCAGGTCATTATCTCCTTTGAAAGACCGTTAGCAATAGCCATAAAGACAGGCCTTAACTGTAAATTAGTACCATAGTTTGTACATTCTTCTATTTTGGATGTTCTGTGTGGAAGAAATATTTTTTCTTTTAAAATTTGTCAAAACAACATACCTGTGTATAAAAGCAATCAATGTTCCACTTTTATTTTATTTTAAATTGTCCTGTTTATGTGTTTACATGTCTCCTTGTTACCTTAATAGCTCTACAGATTGGGAATGCAATTCTGCACAGTACATGCTTGTTGAATAAGCTGTGGAGCTGCCCCATAGAAGCCAATAGAGCCTTGCCTACATGGGAATTCCCTCACACTTACTGGAATAGTTAAACTGCATCTATCCATCTGTCCACTGCCCCATTCCCATAGACTGAGCTGTTTACAAGAAATTAAACCAACAATGAGTAATATTGACTAATACACCATTTTAAATAAAACTGAGATGAGAACTAATCTGTGAAGGCCCAGATTAATCCAGACAACTCCCTCTTCATTCTATTTTGCGGCAGAGTCTCCCAACTTTTCTTAACAGGCATTTTGCATATTGGTTTCCTCCAGCCATCTTTTATGCAAGTTACTTCTAGGAAAAATTTTGAGAAGAACCAACCTACTCTCCTACTAGGTTGTAGGACAGGCAGGAAAAGGCTAGCCTCAGAATTAATAGCTCATGATCAACTGCCTAACCAACTTGTTTTACAAGGAGGAGTCAGAAAACATTGCTTTTGTCTCCATTATTACTTAACTTGCAAATTGACATTTTGAGCCATTATGGGTAGAACATAACTATTCATATTTTAATAACATGAATCATCTTGCTGATGTTTTTATATTGTAAGTTTTGCATGTATCTAAGAAATCTCACAGTATCTTCTAGAATTGCAGGAATTGTATCAATTTACTATTCCCTTAGGGCATAAAATCAGTTTTGCTCATTCCAAACTTTTGGATATTGGAGGAACAAATAGATCTAGTTTGGGGAAGGCAGCTTCTGGCCACATTCTTAATCAGGCATGGCACATGCCACTGATGCTTTTCCAGGTCAACCTATCCTTTTGGTAATGTTACCACCCAGTTACAGCATCTGAAACTTTGCTCTTCCTTCACTATTGCAAACTAGAGATGCTTCAGATTTTCCCCTTTAAACATTCTTTACCTACCTGGAACTCAGTCTGTGGCTTTTTTTCTTGTTTCTTTTGCATCCTCATGGGACCTTTGCATCTTTCTGGATGTAGCCAGATATTCATGCAGGACAGTCAAAAGTAGCACTCGTCAGATCACTTCTTGTCCTTTCTCTTCTGTCCAGCACCCTGCCCAGCCCAGCTCTTCTTACTCTCTCAGCTGCCATAAGTTTTGCTTTGGAACAGTTTTGATTTAACCAGGATAGCGGTGGTGGGGCATGCATGTATGTGTGTTCCATGTTTGCTTGAGTGTCCACTGTGCAATTGAGCTGAATTGCTTTTGGAATTTTGTAAAGAATATATAGAAAGTAGATTTATTAAAAAATGTGCAGCATAGTTTGATCTTCCCCATCATGGTTGATCTTACCCTTTCAAAAATTGCCAGAATCACCTCTGGAATATGGCTCTTGAGACTATTCGAAGACTCCTGATCTAGATGGAAAAATCAAGGGGTCATTTTGGCATTTGCTCCCACAGATTCCTAACCAATTAATGGATATCTTTGACCCATTTTTTAAAACAAATTGTGTTTGAGGACATGGACAACTAGCAGGCAACAATGGATAGAGAAGTTCCTGCGCTTGGTTAGGGGACAAATGAAGGTTTGCCCACAGTTCTCCATATTTAAAGTATCTAGAATTATGAAATATGCCCAGTTATTATAGGAAGCTTCCTTACACCCTATTAAACTATTTGTCAGAATGTTAATTATACTCATGGCGTTAAACTAAAATAACTATTTCATTATTGGTATTTTTATATTGTGCTTCAGTCACATTCCTGGAATAGTTTACCAAAACAAAACCCAAAACAAGCAACACTTTAATTCAATATAGGCTTAAATATAGAATTTCAGATAGTAAGGTCAATAGTCAATACATTTGCAGGGACTTTCCTAGGTATTCATTAAATACAATGTTCAGACTTGTTTTTAATCTACCCTTCTATAGGTAGTACATGTCTCAATAAGTATGCAAAAAAAATCTGACTTTAATATGATGTAATCAGGGCAGATGGCATTGTGTGTGTGTGTGTGTGTGTGTGTGTTGTGGGGTTGGGCATATATCCAGACTTAGTAAAGTCGCTTCATGGTATGAACAGATACTATGGTACAATATTGGATGTAAGACCATCAATAAAAGAATAAATAGATACTGTAGCATTCTATACTTGAGAACACTGCAGCTTCTTCAAATGCCAGTGGGAAGGAAATAAGTACACAAACATATTCCTTTTAAAGTATGGCTAAGGCTTCATATTGTTTTTTAATAGGTACTCATATGAACATGATTCTGACTGTATTTCAATGATGTTAAATTCAATACCATAATTTATTTTTTATTAATGTAGATAATAAGAGGGTATGTACCTCAGTCAAGTGCAAAATTCACTTTTCAGGAAAGAAGATTCTACTGGCTTCTGTGGGCAGATCTGGACAGTGTTCTGTGTGGAATTGTGCTGTTGGTGTTAATGTTCCTACATAGTTTGGGTGGAGGAAAAGCCTGGGTTTCCTCCAGAATAACCCATTCCTACAGCCACCACAGTTTAAAACAAACGTTTTCTCAGTTGTGTTACATCCCCTGGTGAAATGTTTTAATGTGGCTGAGCATACGTCTTGTGCCTTCATATTTAGTGTTTTATTTCTAAAACTACCATGATTGTTCACAAGTTTCTTTCTTCTGTTTGATTTCCTTCGTTCGTTTTTCTCCAGGAGGTAGACCAGGTTGATCAGGTAGGATATATTGCTGGGAACTGATCCTAGCTGTGTTGGCTTAGCTCAGTTTCTCATGCTGCTTCCATGTAAAAATACAATATTTCTACAGCTGGATTGAACATAACACTCATTTGGCAGCTGGAACATGCTGTACTAAAATCCTTTTTTGACTGCGCAACCTATCAGCATTCCATAATTTCTGCTTTATGCACTTCAGTATGAAGACATAATGACAAAAGTTCTTTTTCTTCCCTTTTTTTGTTTTGTTTTGTCTGTGGTTCTGTTCTTTGGATCTCATCTGAGGTTGCCTGGCCTAGCATTTGTGGTCGGGAAATGGTGAGATAGATCAGTACTTGGTACTGAGTCGCTTGGTGTCAAAGTCAAGTGACTAATAGCATCTGGGTGACAGTGGGCATTAGTGAACATGTGCTCACGCGTATACAGATTACCAGATAATGCAAATACCTGAGCTTCCAGCATTTCATGACAACATGCTAACTCCATTTCACTAATAGCATTTGGGTTATTTAATGATGCTTAATTAAAGAAACATTTGATTTGAAGCTGTTACAACATATCCAGTATATTGTTTGTGGTTTCATATAAACTTTGCAAATATCTGGTATCTGAGTCATGTACCTGGAGGAGGTACTGGTCTATCTAAACAGAGCCTTTTGACAATGAATGCAAGTTGGATAATTAGAAGGGGACTTATTCATGTTTACACCTCTCCTTGTTTAATATTTGCAGAAACAGAAGAATATTGCTGGGGCACTTGCTTTCTGGATGGCAAATGCATCCGAGTTGCTAAATTTCATTAAGCAGGATCGAGACCTTAGCAGAATCACATTAGATGCACAAGATGTTTTGGCACACCTTGTTCAGATGGCGTTCAAGTAAGATAATCAGTTTCTGTGTTTGTTTGTTTAAAGTTTAATTTCTCCATTTTGAGGTAGAAATATACATAGGTGGAGTTCACATAACATGGCAATCGATTCTGTGAATAAACTACAGTGTGTGGGTTCATGAAACAAGTGATGGTGTGCCAGACCAGATGATCAAACTCACCAGGGGTTGGCCCCACTTCTTTCCTACTAGGTACTGCTGGTATTGCAGAAGACTTGGCAACTGAACGCTTCCCCTCTCTTTTCTCCACTCTAATTGTGACCCATTTTTGGTCACAGCTGCTATTCTTTTTCCTTTTTTTTTCCTTTTTTTTCCCCCCTTTCAGAAATTTTTCATGATAGCATCCCCTCCCCCTGAATGCTCAAGCAGGAGATTGAGTGGGTGTCACTTTCTTTTATTATGTGTTTAGATCCCAGAAATGTGCACAAATGTTTTTTATAACAAAATAGATAGATGGAAGCTATGTGAATACACAGCTCTGATTATCTGAAATGTGAAACTCTGCCTAGTAAATAACCTGGTGTCTCTTGTCAGTGCTCAGGAAGCAACATCCATGGACACTGACAAAGCAAGGCTGCAGATAGGTGATGTATTACTTAGCCTTTTGCTTGACAGCTGTCAAATAGCAAGTTGTTAAGACCAAAGCAAAGCCACAAGGGGATGGAATCTACATGGCCTCCTTTTGGCTGTGATCCTCTGGCTTGTAAGATTTCCCTCACTGTTCTCATCTCCTTTCACCTTTTCTGCACTGGAATATCTGGACCTCCCTACCTTTTCTAAGTAATTCCTTTTGACATCTGTCAAGAGAAAAGTGTTTTGTCTAAGCAAGCTTTTGATAGGGTTAAACAAGGTTGTTTTAATAGAATATTTTCACATACTTGGAAGTAATTTCCATCAAATTTAGTGGGACTTATTCTGAAACAGGGATTCATAGAATTCAACTGATATATTTTAATCTGCAATTTCTAGGACTGCATGCCTTAATGTGAAAATTATTCATTTGCTTTTAACCTTCAGATATTAAGCTAATCCATCTTGAAATGAGTGAGAGCCTTACTATTTCCCAAAACTTGTTTTTCAGATATCTGGTTCATTGTCTTCAGTCAGAGCTTAATAACTACATGCCTGCATTTCTTGATGATCCAGAAGAAAATAATCCTCAAAGACCCAAAATAGGTTAGATCATTGATAACATCTTTAACAAGCATAAATCCTGTTGTCACGGTGGGAGAAGTATGGTGGGATAGATTGTATATTGTGAGGAACCATGCTGTGGGCTTGCATTACAATAAGGCACATTGCATGTTATTAGGGGATGCTCTGTGAGATGAAAGCTGAGCTGGTGTTAGAACATAGCACAGTTTTAATCATGCTTTATGCTTAATTTTAATTTATAATTTTATGATATTGCATTTGTAATTTAATATATTATACCTTGTAACATGAGTGAGAAGTATATGTAACCTGTGATAAAAGGTATATTTTGTACAAATCTCCATGACTTAAATAATGTTGCTAAAACTCGAATTCTTAAATTGTGAAATGTGCAACTCACTTTGAATCCTGTAGCCAGATGTTGCCGAGGTCCAGTATTTTGGGACCATGGACATATTTGACAATTGGACAAAGTGTTCTGGATATCACTAAAAAATTGCTGCTTTGGGAGGCATGACTTCTTTCCCCAAACACTGAGGGCAATGCAAGGGAAGGGTCTGAGCACCAGGACCCTGAACAACTCCTTTAAATTCGTGGTTTTCAGAACCAGCAGAACCCTATTTCCCAGCAGTCCCTCCTGCCAGAAAGAAAAGGAAGTTTTTCTTTTTTAAAAAAAGGTAGAAGGGCCAGGACACCTCCATGGACAGCCCATGGGAACTACATTGCCTACTTTTCCTATAAACCATGAGCCCTGAAATTTCCTTCTGTTTTCATGGACAACACTCAAAAATGTCTCTTTAATATCTCAGTATGTTGAGCATTTTTAACAAAGTCAATAAAGACATGATCTGATTTTTTAAAAGAACCTTCAATATTTGATTGGTACAACACTGCTCACTTGATTTTTTTTATTGTGTACCGTTTTAGTAGTTCCCATTTTCAAATAGGATATATAATGTGTTAGCCAAATAGCAGATTAAATCCTTGTTCGTTTGTTTCAGTTGTATCATGTCAAGAGCCACTGAGGGTAGGATTATCAAGATTCTATTCTGAGTTCAATTATTTGAGAATAAGGCTCATTGGACGCTGAATAAACAGGCAGAGATTGTGCTGTGAGAGCCCTAGAATTATCAGAATGATATAGTTTAAGTTGCAGGATTTTATTCATAATATATTTTTTCATATCAAGATACAATTATGTTGCATGTAGACTCCTGTTTTTCAATATCTACAAATAACCTGCCTGATGATCAATGTAACTTGTGACTTAGAGGAAGAGACCAAGATCTTTGTTTGAAAATTTAGTGATATATGAGTGTAATGGTTTGATCAGCAATTCATTAATTGCTGAAATATACATGGAAATGAACTAACTAAATAAATCCTGGATTAAAATACAGGAATAAAAAATAGAGAAGAGAAGGGTCTGAGAAAAAAAATTACAAAACTTAGGAACTAGATTTGTTGAAATTAAAACATACACACATTTTATTTATAGACACGTGTGTGCACACATGTACACAGACAGTCCTACACACACACACGCACACGCACATGCACGTGCACGCAGAGAGAGGGAGACAGGGATGGAGGTTCATCCAAGTGTTGGGAGATGTCACTTCTCCTTTCCTCCTATTTAGTGACAATATCAATACAAATATATTGGGAAGTACTAATTCAGTTTAATAATGAATTGATATTAAACCCATTAACCATACTTTGTTTCATTGCAAACAAAAAGATGGAGACATGTGGCTTTGAATATATTATCAAGTTTGTGGGCAGCAAAATTAATTTGTAAGCAGAAAAAGAAACTTCTGTGTTTGAATATTGCCAGGAAGGAAGCTGGAGAATAAGTTACACAGTATTTACACAGTAGATATATCAGATTGAGGTAGGGGATTTCATATTGATGATGATAATATACAGCATTATATAATAATTCAAAGATGAATATTTATTATTTCCCCCTTTTTCTTATATCTTGAGAACAGGTAGAATAAAAGATGTGAAAAGTGTTAGATATAAATATTTTTATTCAAATAAGGGGGAGTATGTCAGTAAAAATAGTTAGAATGTATATTTGAATTATAAAGTTTTCCTTTTATATTTCAATATTTAATGTTGAGTGTATTTTCTATATATATGGATATATAGAAGTAAAATATATATAACTTTTCTTTCCTTGTAGATGATGTCTTGCATACACTAACTGGAGCCATGTCCCTGTTACGACGTTGTAGAGTGAATGCTGCACTGACCATACAGCTCTTCTCCCAGCTGTTTCATTTTATCAACATGTGGCTTTTTAACAGATTGGTTACTGATCCAGATTCAGGCTTGTGTTCACATTACTGGGGAGCTATCATCCGCCAGCAGCTGGGGCATATTGAAGCCTGGGCAGAAAAACAGGGCTTGGAGCTGGCTGCTGATTGTCACCTCAGTAGGATAGTACAAGTGAGTATTGGTGTTAGTGGAAAAATAAGTATAGGCTTGCATGGCCCTGCAAGGTTTCTCTGTACTGTAATGTAGCAATGGAAATGGAGCCAGGCATCCCCAGTCACCAGGATGGAGCAGTATAAAAGTGCATTGTCCTAGGGATGAACTTTGGGAGCTAGGCAGAAGAGTGCTTCCCAATTTGGTTCCGTTTCAGAAACATCACCCATGCGGTCCTTCTGGTTTGCCTTGCTGGGAGACTGTGATAGGGTGAGGGAGAACACTGACTCCAACCCTTCATATGGGTAAATTAAAGAAGATGGTGTCTGGGGACTTGTACTTGGTCTTTGACCTATAGTATCCCACAAGGTTTGGTTTTCCCTGTATGCTTTTTGACAACTTCATGAAACAACTAGGTTGATCATCCAAGAATAGTGAGTGTGTTTTCACCTTTATATCTTCCTTCCATCATATTGTGGGGGGAGGCTTGGAAATGTTAATATTTAGTCAGTAATGGGCATGCTGAGGGTAAAGAAAATGAAATTAATTCTGAACAGAGATGTTATTGGTTAGGAGTTATACTGATGCATGAACATGCTGGCAACCTGTTCTAGATAGGGTTGCAAGATTAGATCCTACTTTGGGTGCATGCCTGGAACTTTGGGTTCTGCTAATAGATGAATTTGCTTTTTTCAGGCAACTACATTACTTACTATGGATAAATATTCACCTGAAGACATTCCAAGTATTAACAGTACCTGCTTTAAACTCAATTCTCTGCAACTGCATGCATTGCTACAGAATTATCACTGTGCCCCAGATGAACCATTTATTCCAACAGTAAGTCAAGCTTAGCATTGTAATTCTTTTTGTAGGGAGATTCTGATTAAGGGCACCATCATAATTTTCTTTTGAAAGAGTACTTGTTACAGGATAATGTATAAAATGGAAAAAAACCTTTAACATTGAAAAACAGTGATTGCTTCATAGCTTTGGTAGCGACTTCCTCCTTATATGCTAAATAGACCACAGCAGACTGCTTGTACATCAGTTGGGATGTACACAACATTTACTGAGGTATTAAAATATCAGGAAAATTTCAGAAAAATTCTACATAGTTTTGGTGAAAACTGCCTTCTGTTAGATGAAGTATGATGAGAAAGGGAAGGTTCTCTGTTTTCTGTACTGTACCTGCTAGATTGCCTACACATTCTTACACAATCACACTGTGACCTGGTTCAAGCAACATGACAGCTACCATGGGTGACCAGCCATAGTGGGCGGTGGCTCATTTTTCACGAAGAAGCCACCTTGAGAACGCACCATTTGTTCTAGGGTTGGTCCGAAACACAATGGGTTGCCATGTCATTCCAACACAACAAGGAAATTTTATCATGAGTTTTTGGAAAAAGCTGTGGAGTTGCTCTTGCTGAATAGCAAACCCCTTGCCACTTACTGTTGCATATTTACTGGTGACTGCCCTTCTGCCAGTGCTAAAAATGCCCTTTAGAAGAATTGGCACTCTTCCCATGTCTTTATTTTTCATAACTCCAAAAAAGGTGCAGTTAGTTTTATGTTTGTTTGTTTTTCATCCTCTGAAAATTGCAATTTAAAAAAAAACATTGCTGCGTGGCAGGTGCGTAAGTACACACAGATATCCAGTACAGGGCAAGACTGCATATACGCTAATTTGCACAGAGCCACCAGGGTCCAAGTACTTGTCAATTGAAAAGCACTGATAAATGGAAAAAGTGCAGAAAACAGGTGCGCTGAAAGTGTGTAACAGCAGTATTATCCACTTAGCCATGTGATATTCTTGATTTTTCAGTTGAACTCAATGCCCTCCTACTCAGCACTTCCCCAAGTGTGTAGCTACTCCAGAAAGTGGAACTCCTTAATTCGGTTCCCTCTTTACAAAGCAGTTATCGCAGCAGTGCAGATTCCCTCACTCCTTAACTTCCCAGCACTTAAGTGGGTGCAATTTTTTCCCCAGCCATTAAATTTGCCTATAATTCTGTGGAGTTTTTAAAACTGTCAGAAGCACAGTAATTGCATCACTAATTGATTTGAAAAGGAACCATGTAAAGGGGGAAGGAGAGCTAATATTGCCCCTTTCTGGAATGGCTGGAAACTTGTAATAGGTGGCGGGCACTGAGAACTGCCAAGTTCACCGATTAAAAGTGAGATGATTATATTGCCACCATCCTTTCTGTGCATTTCCCCTATTTATCAAGATGTTCAATGGACAGCTGGGCAAATAGCGGTCTACAACTCTTAGCAAATTAGCATACATGCAGTACCATCTTGTCCTCCCTTTGGCATCTCAAAAGGATAAAGGAATTGACTGGGCAAGACTGTGTACATATTAGGCACTCATAATCATACATTTGTGCACCTGTGAAGGACCAACAAAATTATTTTTAATGCAGTGTTCACAGGCTGAAAAATATAAGCCCAACTGTGCTTTTTGAGGGTGGGGTGGGGTAAAGCAGCAAATAAAAATGGTAATGATCAAAAGAGAAGACAGATTCTTCTATGAAAGCCAGGGATACTGGCTGGAAGCCTGAGGGATAAGGAGGGGAAGAACATGGTGAGTTTGAACACCTGCTAGGTGCACTGTGGCTAGTTGAGTGAACCACCAAGCCACTGTGACTTATCTACAAGATGGATTGGCACAATGTGCAAACCCACCCAGTGTATCACATAATATAAATTATAATTTTATTCCTTGCAGCCATACATGCACACATAACAGCTGGATCCAACAAATCTCACAACTAGGTTTGTGTACCCAGGAGAATCAATACTGGTTGAAACTTCAGAAAATTTCTGAAGTGGTTTGTGCCTTCTGTTCAAAAAGAGAAATGGACATGTGAAAGGCTTTGGACTTGCCTAAAATAGCTAGTTGGATCTCAGGCAATACAAATGTATACATATATAAACTTACAACTCTTACACATTCATTGGCACAAGAGCACACAGGCTCCTTATTCTAGTAATTTCTTGTTATTTGAATCCAGCTGTGCCATGTTCAATTCAGTTATTCCATGGCTTAGTTGAGGGTCATTTGTAATTTTCTGTTCCTTGTTGACTTTTCTGACTTGAAGCGTCCCTTTTGAGGAGCCATGAGTGATTTTATTTAAATTTATTTAAATGTCTCTTAAATGTGTGTTCAGACTTGGGTAGGTAAAGTACAAAAGCATAATATTATACACCTGGATGCTCATGTATAATATTGCAAACTTTTCTTCTCTGTCCCTTGCCACCCCAGGAGCTAATAGAAAATGTGGTAGCAGTTGCAGAAAATACTGCTGATGAGCTGGCTCGTAGTGATGGTAGAGACGTACAGCTTGAAGAGGATCCTGATCTACAGCTCCCTTTTCTTCTACCAGAAGACGGTTACTCATGTGATGTTGTCAGAAACATCCCGAATGGATTACAAGAATTTTTAGATCCACTCTGCCAAAGAGGTTAGTCCTTTCATCCTGCCTTATGGCAGAAGCTATATTCTTTGCTTTAGTTTGGTTGAGTAAACACTCTTATATTTTAGATGTTTGTCTGGGATTCCTTATTGTTACTTTTTTGCAACCATGGGCCGGGGAAGCCCGGTGGCCAGTCTGAGTGGAGGGGCGGACCCCAGCAGTCAGCAGCCTCTACCAATAAAAGAAAACTGAGGCACAAAAACATGTAAAGGAGGATGTAGAAATCACACAGCAAAAAGTACCCCTTTGGATCCACTTTTCTTGTTCTAGCCACAGCTAGAACACAGAACAGAATGCAGCTTATTTGTTCTAGCCACATTCTACAGAGAATCAAGTGACTCTAAGATGATGAGTGAGAGGAGAGAATTCACACAATTATAATAGCAATGATAATAATTAAAATAAGGTACGATATGCTTAGAGCCACACAGAAAAGAAGCCTTTGGAACACAACAAACATCCAAGATCCATGTCTTTCTATATCCATCACAAAGCTGGTATCAGAGCAGGCCTACTCAGAAGCAGCCAGAACAAATTTCCAGACTGTGCATATATTATAAGAAGCCAGGACTGGATTGCTCAGAAGCAAGTTTGGAGATCACTTTGCAAATAGCAACAATATGAGTAGTCATGATGAGTATATCCCTTGGGAAGCCAGCAGGAACTGCCAGCAGGAAGCTGCAAGAATACACAGACCTCTGTTTTCACACATACAGTCACATGCTTCAATAACCTTCCAAATTTTACAGACTTACACACCATATTAAATAACAGTAATCATAACAGTGAAAATGATTAAAATAAAATGTAATATTCTGAGTCACACAGAAAATCAGCCTTTGGAAGATATGTACAACTATAATCAAACTCTAGATGTAGACTTAGACTCCCTCAAAGGTTAAACTTTAGCATACCAGTATAATAAAGCTGTGAATGCTGCTGTAACCATTTCTGTGAGGACAAGCTGCACCTGTGCTGGCTTCTACGTAGGTGCACAGAACAGCCCTTTCCCTTGCAGAGGGAAGGATTGTCTCATGGCTAGAGGGCTAAATTGACCCCATGTTTTGCAGTACCTCCACTCTGAGAACAGATATTAGCACTGACTGGCACTGGGTACTAGGCTGATTCAGAGGCCTTTCCACTCCTGGAGTAATAAGAACATTCGGAGCATGCTCAACATACACAGTTGTGAATGTGAAGTTTCTGTTCTGCAAGAGGAACTCCTGCTGTAGTGCAACAGCAGCTGAACACCAAAAAGAAGCCAGTAGCATCTCAGTGAAAAGGAAATGTTTATTGTTAAAGTTAAGAGTGGAGGAAAGCAATGGAAGAGTGGTTCCCCTTCTAACCAGAGTTGCTCCTGCCATGGTGTCAGTTACTTATTCCTGTAATTGAAATTTTATTTGCAAGCTTCTTACATCAGAACCAGCAGTCTCTTCCTTTCAAGCTTTGTATTATGCTTTATGCATTCAGAGTTGCTTCCTTAATTTTCTCCATGTGTGCAAAAGGATGCTTTTAAGAAATTAAGAGCTTTTTTCTGTTAAAGCGGTCATCCACCTTATGAGACTATTGATTAACTAGGGCCTCAGTCCTGTGCTCATTTACTTGTAAGTAAACTTCATTTAACCCAATCAGATTTATAGGGGATTGCATTGCAAATCCTGCTGTTCAGAGTTAAGAAGTAATGTGCCCCTTTAGTAACAAAACAGTTTTTTTCTTTGAAACAGCAACAGTTCTTTGCCTTGTACCTCTTACAATTTAGAATTTATTTTCTTGTGGACAAAAAGGGGGTTTTAAATGGTGAGCCTATAACTTGAAGTTCATGTTTAAAAGAGAACCCTTTTGCTACAGAATGTTCTTATTTTACCACACATTTATCAGTTCTTTCAGTTAGGGTACAATCCTGTGGCCCCAGCACAGTCTAGTCTGCCATTGGATAAGTTGAAGCCCCACCCCTGGACCTTTAAAATGTGTTTTGAGGTTGGAATTGGAACTTCAGCTGAGAACTGTTGTTCCTTCACCCTTACAGCCCATGCAGTTCTTTCCTTTCCAGCTGTAGCTCCTCTGTACCTGGGAACTGGTACAGGGGGACTTTTGGGGTGGGGGTAGGGAATGGGAGCAGTTTGGTTCTGCTGGAGTATGAGGAGTCATGATATATTCACAAGGAGGGGCAAAAGAGATTTTTTTTTCCTTGTGTTTTTCTTAAAACAAATTAGTTGGAAAAGCATTTTTTATATTTTTAGTCATTAAGTATTTTTACCTGTTTTTCAGGCTACATGCTTATATTAATAGCAAATGGTTTTGTGATTGTTAATTTTCATTTGAACATGTGATATTGCTACAGTTAAGGCGATACAATACAACACACTTTAAGCTATTTATTTAAATATGCTAATTGACATGTTTAGGTAGGAACTGAAGGGTTGAACTCTCTTGTGATCTTCAATTATTAGAGAGAAAGCAGTGTTACTCATGAAATAAAAGCCATGAAATTGTGTTGATTTTTTAAAAAAATACCTGTTAAATTGATGGTCAACATTAGCATTGACCCATGTCTGGGATTATGGTGATAGTGATCATTAATATTTTATAGATTCTTTATGTTCCTAGTTAACTTATTTGAGAGGATGCAACTATTACACATTATCTTTCTCATTTAGGTTTTTGTAGATTGACACCTCACCCACGTTCCCCAGGTACTTGGACAATATATTTCGAAGGAGCAGATTATGAAAGTCATCTATTACAAGAGAATGTTGATCTGGCAAGTATTCATCATGTTTGCATTATGGAACAGCACACAGATGGAAGTTTGGTGGCATGCAACAGTTTTAAATGATTGAATGAAGTAGTGGTTTTAGACTAATCTATTTCTTAAAAGGCAGAGAGTTAAATGTGTAGCTGGTTGCATTTACTAGATATTTCTTGTCATATACTATATCAGTGTTGCAACAAGGAACACTAAGGCTTTTAAATAGTTTTAGTGTAAACAAGCTGGAAGGGAGGAGGCTACATGTAATTTTACTAAAATACCCCAAATGGCTTATCACTGAGTAGTATAAACTGTTTTCAGTACTGAGGAATTCAGAGTTTCGGTATTTTGTTTCTTCAGGCTCAACCCTTGAGGAAGGAACCTGAGATAATCACTGTGACACTAAAGAAGCAAAATGGAATGGGTCTGAGCATTGTGGCTGCTAAGGTATAACTAAATACTTTATATAAAAATATATAGCCCACCTTTCTAATGTAAATAGAGTAAATGCCTGGATATTTTAACTTTTTTTGGGGTCGGGATGGCTGTCTTCCATGATGAGCTCCTACACTTCCAAGTTCACCACTATGCCACAGCATTTGTATGATTCAAAGTGGCTTTAACAAGTTTTTTAAAAAATCTACAAAACATAACACAGGCAAACTAAAAAGAAAAACTCAAGATTTGTATAAAATATTATTTACCTGGTAAGACAAAGATTTTTTTGTTTTTTTTAAAGTTTTCATTAATGAGTAGAAAAGCAGTCAGAGAGAGGGTCAACCAAATTTTAGCAGGTAAGATGTTCCATTTTATTAATTCAGCCACTGAGAAGGCTGTCATTATTGCCCTGACTAGTTTCATCAGCAGCTTAAGTGGAGCACCGGAAAGGGTCTTGTTATTTAAGTAGGCAGGCTGGTATGAGAGGAGGTGGAGTTCTTTGTCCTGATGCTTGTCATCTCAAGAAAAAAGCCAGTAGAGTCACTTTAGATTTTTTCTGTTGGAAAACAAAAAAAGTGAGCAAAGTGCCAAATAAAAAAAATACATTTAGTTTATGACACACATCCCCTCCATATGAAAATAAATTTGATTACGTTTGACACACTTTACAGATCAGAAAAGTGGGCATATTTCAGGCTTGTGAGATCTTCTGTGCCTTTTGCTAGAATTTATTGAGTCCATCAAGAGATTTCAGATACAAAACCTTGGAAGAGTGGATTAAGCAGCACAAATCTGTGCACATTGTTTTAACCCAGAAGTTAGTTTTCGTCCCACAACTATACTTTCAGACACAACTCTCCTGGTTCTCCCCACTCAAGCTTTTTTCTTTTCACCAGCTTCATTTTAGAATGAAAGAGTCACAGAAGTTTTTGTATGTTCTGTAAATTTTCTAGGAATCTTCAGTAGATGCCAGTTGATGCATTCCCCCACCCCCTGTCTGTCTGTCTGTCTGTCCCTCCATACATTTTGTTGTTAGTCGCTAAGTCATGTCTGACCCATTGCAACCCCATGGCCATCATTCCTCTAGGCCCTCCACCATCCCCCGGAGTCCACCCAAGCTCACACCAACTGCTTCAGTGACTCCATCCAGCCACCTCATTCTCTGCCGTCCCCTTCTTCTTTTGCCATCTATTGTTCCCAGCATTAGACTCTTCTCCAGGGAGCCCTTCCTTTTCATTAGGTGGCCAAAGTATTTGAGTTTCATCTTCAGTATCTGGCCTTCTAAAGAGCAGTCAGGGTTGATCTCCTCTAGGACTGACCGGTTTGATCGCCTTGCAGTCCAAGGGACTCACAAGAGTCTTCTCCAGTGCCACAATCCAAAGGCCTCACATACATACATGTATTTATAGGTCTCCTATAGGCCAAGGCCTTCCTAGGCAGCTTGATGTTGAATACGAAACCACAGGTGAGAGTTGCACTGAACAGGGCAGATCTTCCCAGAAATACTGAAAATAAAAAGTAATTATTCTAACAACGTTTAAAACAAATATCTTCTCTTGTGAGCTTAAAATCTGAAATATTACATAGATATGAAGTCACCCACATGCACTCACCTACTAATAGAAAATGACCACTCTGAAATGAAGTTACTTCAGTTTTATCACAACTCATAAGTTTGATTTGTTTGAGAAAAATACGTAGGCAAATGTACAGACTTACTGTTGACTTTTCTGAGTTGTATAGCAACTGTAATGCAGTTAAATTCGAAATTTGTACCACCCGTCTGTGACCACTAGATGGTGCACTGCTCCAGTATTATAAAGCTTGCAGTTCTAAACTCCCCTAAACAAGTTTCACTGAAGCCAGTGTGCTCATTTCAGACTCGTTTCACTCTTAAATGAAGTTTCACTGAGTTCAGTGTACTTGTTTCAGATTCATAAATTGTATTTTAGTTAGTGGACCTTATATTCCTAAGTTTCAAATTATTTTATAGAGAAGTGTGTAGTGCTCGTGCTTTGCTCCTGTATGATGCTTTGGGATGATTTCTTGGGGCAAGAGTTAAGCACTCATGCAGGGAGAATGCACATAGAACTGAAGTTTGTGACCAACAGCACCTCCAAAAACTCCCTTTGGAACCTGTGCACTTGAACAGATGTTTTAGAAAAACTGGAAATATGTCTGAAGGGGAAAGGCAGGGCAAAGAGTTCAAAACAAGCAGAGTTCTGCCTCTGTTTGGGGCATCAAGCAATGCAGCGCTACACACTTTGTGAGCATTCCAGCTTTTTATTAGAACAGGCCAAGAAAACAAGTCTTCAGTATCTAGCAAGCCAACTGACAACATCAACAATTGTTCTCTAGATATAACAATAGGAGTACCAGTTGCAAATGTAGAACACAGGGTCACCAGCTTGTAGTCTTTCAAGGTCTTCCAAGTCTTTACTGCATTGCCTGTTGCCAGTTTTTTGCTGCCTGTATGCTCCATCAGAGAACCTCATAGGGATCTTGTGTTCTCCTTGCTACTGCTAGCAACAAGGAAAGACTGTATCAGAAATGTGTGTGTGCATATGCACAGCCCCAGCCTGGTTCATTTATGGTTGTTGTGGATGAAAAAGCAGTGCAGCCCTGCTATACCAGTATGAATAGCACATCTAGCCTTCTAACATACCTGGTTGAAAGACTACCTGGAATTGATGTGTAAGATGATGCAATATTTGGGGAGGAAGAGGAGAATATGAGTTTTCTTGGAGGGAGAGGGAGAGTCAGACACTGCAAAGATATGAGGTATTCTGGCAATGCTTCAATCAGTGTGGTGTAGTGGTTAGAGTGTTGGACCAGGATTTGGAAGATCTGGATTTTAGTCCTCATTTGGCCATGAAGCTTATTGGACCAGGCACTCAGCCCAACCCACCTCACAGGGTTGTTGTGAGCATAAAAATGAAAGGAAGAAGATCATGCAAGCCTTGGGTTCCTTTCAAGAGGAAAAAAGGTGGGATATAATGCAGTGTAATAATCTTTAAACAGATATTTGCTCAGTCAGTTACTGTGAAATTTTTATAATAGCTTGGCAGAAATAAAAAGCTGAATTCTAAATAAGTTAACAAGATGGAATTCTTGCTAATGGTGCTTCACAGGAGGAAACTGTTCAAATACTGGTCCCACTTTTATTTATTTTAATAGTATGTTTTATTACACTATAAATAAAGGAGGGGTGAAATTCAGAACCAGATTTAAAGAGCTAATCAGTAGATGGTACTGTTCTAAAATACCACATTTGATACAAGGAAGATGTTGTTTTGCTTTGGCCTGATAAGCTTAATAATCTTGTTGCTGACATTCATGCTAGAAATAATTAATCTGCTTTTGTGTTCTGTTATCAAGATGCAACAGAAGAGCTTGTCTTATCAGCACAGGCCTTTTCATGAGCAAGACTGCCCAGTTTGAAGTTTCTGGCATAATTTCTTAGACACAGAAAAACTAGCTCCACTAGCTTTTTTGCGGGGGAGGGGGGAGCGAGGGAAACAAGATTATTTCAAGTTTTCACAAAGGAATTGAATAATTTTTATCCTTCATTTGTCATTTCTAACCTCTTCCACAAAAATCCATATTATTCCTACTTTTTGCATCATGGTTGTCTGATGCACTTCTCATTATCCACTAACAGTGCAATTGTATGCCTGCCAGGGCAGTATCTTTTGGAGACCTGGCTAACGTGTTGGAAAATTGCTCCAACCTTGTAACTGAGTATTTGCATTCAGAGCACCCTTTGTCCTCTCCTCTCTGTAGCTGGTGCAGAAAGAACCATACTGGCTGGAAAGTGATCTCAGAAAGAGGGTTTAGGAGATGTTCCAGGAAGAGAGGAGGAGGCAGATGTGGCTCAGGTGTAAGGTATCCTGGCATTGCCTCAGCCTCCCTCCTGCTCCAAAGTGCACCAGTTGGTGGTGGTAGTAGTTGTTATTACATTGCATTTACATTCTTCCAGAGAATTTGTGACTGGCTGAGAGTCACCCACTAAGCTCCCTGGCTCTGTGGGGACTAGAATGTGTATCTCCTGAGTCCCAGTCCAGCACTCCTAACCACTATACCACACTGGCTCTTGATGGCTGAAATGTCCACTCTAAGTGTTGGAAGGAGTATGCAGGTGATCTTTGCCTCAGTGTTCTCCTTTTCTGCATAATTCTCTGAATTCAAAGGCTTATAGGCATCCTGATTTTTGAAGAAATACCCTGCTCAGGGTTGGAGTAAGGGGCACTAACTTTTTCTCTTCTGCAGCCAGAATTCCTCCTCAAGAAAATTAAAATTTATTCAAGTTAGTTGGATCTGACCAAAGTTCTTTCAGGAGAGTTCTTGCAATTTAACTGAGAGGCATAAGGAAAATGTTGTATGGCAGTTTGTAGTAAATGGTGCAGAACTGTTCAGCTCTGTACTATGTACTCATTGAAAATCTTTACTCTGCTCAATGTTTATTCATTTATTATTTATTTATTGCATTTATATACCACCCCAATAGCCCAGAGGGCTCTCTGGGTGGTTTACAAACATTAAAACCCCACCAATCCTAAAATAAATAAATTGGCTACACCACAACTGAGTATAAAATAACATGGTTAAAATGAATTAAATAAATAAATATATCATTAAAATTAATTAACTTTAAAATATTGGTTAAATAAAAAGGTCTTGACCTGGTGCCAAAAAGCATATAATGATGGCGCCAGGCAGACCTTTCTAGGGAGCGCATTCCATAGTCAGGGCGCCACTGCAGAGAAAGCTCTCCTCTGGGTACTCTGTTTCCTAACCTCTTTCAAAGATGGTTCCCGGAGGAGGGCCTCTGCTGCCGATCTTAGGGGGTGGGAGGGCATGTAGGGAAAAAGGTATTCCTTTAGGTATCCTGGTCCCAAGTCGTTTAGTGCTTTATAGGTAATAACCAGCACCTTGAATTGAGCCCAGACTTCAATGGGAAGCCAATAGAGCTGATAGAGGACTGGAGTTATGTGAGAATAACAACCAAT